CAAGTGTTCACAGGGTCACACTCGGGCTACTGTGCTCCCCAGGCGTCGTGGTAGTGCTCACATAGGTGCCCCCGATGGAGTTGGCACACCCCAGGCTTAGAGACCACACACTCTAGTGGTACCAGGGGTCCCAGACAGTGGAGCTACAGGGACCCCACTTGGCATCCGCAGGTGGAACCAGGAGTTGAACTCACGGTCTCATTTTTAGGATATTTATTATTATTTATTCATTTGGGCTGGAGTGATAGCGCAGCAGGTAGGGCGTTTGCCTTGCACACAGCCAACCCGGGTTCGATTCTTCCACCCCTCTCAGAGAGCCCGGCAAGCTACTGAAAGTATCCCGCCCACACGGAAGAACCTGGCAAGCTACCTGTGACGTATTCGATATGCCAAACATAGGAACAAGAAGTCTCACAATGGAGACATTACTGGTGCCCACTCAAGCAAATCGATGAACAACGGGAGGACAGTGCATTTATTTTATTTATTTATTTATTTATTTTTGGCTCTTTGGGTCACACCTGGTGATGTTCAGGGGTTCCTCCTGGCTCTGCACTCATCCTGGCGGTGCTCGGGGAACCATATGGGATGCCGGGGATCAAACCCAGGTCGGCCACATGCAAGAGAAACGCCCCCCCTCCCCGCTGGTCTATCACTTCAGCCCCTGACGGTCTCTTGTTAGCATGGCAGCATCTTTTACTGCTGCATCTTTTACATCTTTTAGGCCCCAACCCTTCTTCCTTTTTTTCAATTAAAGTGTTACTGACTTGTTGATTTAAAGCGTTCTGTGTCTCTGCATTCCTTGTCTTGGAGGCAGATTGGTGGGAGGGAGACAAGCGAGGGCATTGGTGAAGGGAAGTAGGGAAGTGGACCCTGCTAAAAGGAGCCCGGCTTGAAACATCGTGTGCCTGAACCTGATCATGAGTAACTTTGTAATTTCATGGTGACTAAATAAATAAGAATAAAGTAATCGATGTGTCAGGAGTATGACACCAGGGAAGGGAGAGGTGTGGAAACATTGACATTGAATGCCTGGAAACCAATCATGAATAACTTTGTAATTTCATGGTGACTACTTTTCAAAAATCATAATAAGGGGGCTGGAGAGATAGCACAGCGGGTAGGGCGTTTGCCTTGCACGTGGCCGACCCGGGTTCGATTCCCAGCATCCCATATGGTCCCCTGAGCACCACCAGGAGTAGTTCCTGAATGCAGAGCCAGGAGTAACCCCTGTGCATCGCCGAGTGTGACCCAAAAAGAAAAAAATCATAATAAATAAAGTATTCTGTGTTTCAGGAGTATGACCGCACCCCTAAGCCCCACCACACCCAGTTCCCTGAGGAACCTTTCTGGTTGGACTCTCAAGTCAGTTCTGAAATCGATTCTGGATCCTGCTGCCAAACTTTGCAGCTTGACTCCATCACTTCATGCTGGAGAGACCCTGGGAAAGCTACGAAGTTTCCTCCTTTGTGGAGTGGGTGAGAATGCTTCTGCCTCATCCTGTTGTGAAAAGTACAAGAATCTGTTAAAACAGTGCCTGGGATTAGAAGCTTTCATAAAACACTAGCTCTCGGGGTCCATGGATGGCCCATGGGCAAATACTCTTGACTGCAAGCAGGAGATCAAGAGTTTGATCCCTGGGCGGCCCACATATGCCAAATGCAGTGCCGGCAGCTCTGCTGTCTGTGGCGGCTGGTGCCACTGCAGAGGGCATGCTCTTTGGCACCCACGGCCAGGTATTTACGAGTACCACCCCAGCAGCATGGGGCGATTATGCATCACAACCAGAATGCTGTGAAAACCGTATAACACATGATCCCTGGCCAGTGCCGGCACATGCTCTGTCCTCGAGCGTGCGTCCCCACGAACACAGTTGCCGGGGGAGAGAGCCCCACAGCCAAGTGTGGGGCCACGGCCTGGTCAGTGCTCCAGCCACAGAGAGACAGAAGATGAAACTCTGTCCCTCTCTGTCCCCCCACAGGACCTCTCGGGGACCCTTTCTCTTTCTTTCTTTTTTTTTTACAATTTTCTATTTTATAAAGTAGTTCACAGGGCTGGAGCAATAGCACAGCGGGGAGGGCGTTTTCCTTGCACATGGCTGACCTGGGTTCGATTCCCAGCATCCCATATGGTCCCCCGAGCGCCGCCAGGTGTAACTCCTGAGTGCAGAGCCAGGAGTAACCCCTGTGCATCGTCGGGTGTGACTGAAAAAAAAAAGTAGTTCACAATATTTAATTCCATTTAATATTCAAATACCAATCCCACCACCATGACAACTTCCCAACACCATATTTCGGGTGTTTCCATCCCGAACCCCAATCGCTGCCCCAAAGCAGAACCAAAATAACGTAATATTTCCCTCTAAGGTTGGTTGCCGCCTGATAGCACAAGGGCTGGAGCGATAGCACAAGGGCTGGAGCGATAGCACAACGGGTAGGGCGTTCGCCTTACAAGCGGCCAACATGGCCGACCCGAGTTCGATTCCTCCGCCCCTCTCAGAGAGCCCGGCAAGCTACCGAGAGTATTCGATATGCCAGACACAGTAACAACAAAGTCTCCAATGGAGACGTTACTGGGCCCGCTCGAGCAAATCGACGATCAACGGGAGGGCCTTTACCTTTAAGGTTGGTTGCCGCCTATTTTGAATCCCGTCAAATGTGGTGCAGTGTTCTTGGAGTATGGGGAGGATGTGGTTTATGAAGTGTTGCGCAGCCACATTTGTGGTCCAAAAAAAGCTTCACTCGTGGGTGAGGCTTGGCCAGAGCATGTGGAAAGTGGCCATGAGCATGGCGGCGGTTGAGTTCTGGAGGTTTTCGGTTGCCAGGGCTGGGTCCCTTGGGGATGGGCAGGGTCTCACCCGCCCCCCTCTGGGGCGCCCCGAGTGAAATAGCCTGGTGCAGGGTCCGGCGGCATGGTTATGGCGAGCATCATGTTATGCTCCCTTCCGGGAGAGAAGGGCATGTGATCTGGATGGTGGCCGATGACAAGATTATCTGGCGCCAGCCAGGGGTGGCTTGTGGGCGTGACTGCTGAGCTGCCAGAGACAGGGGGTTATGGGCAGAGGATCGAGGACCCCTTCTCACCTCGGTCCTTCGTCCCCGTGCCCAGCCACACACAGGATTCCCTTCCCGCTCTCCTTCACCTCGCTGAGGTGCCTTGCTCCCAACGGACCTGCTCCTTGCCATGGGAACCTTCCTGCAACCCCCCATCCCCACGTGATGCCTCGTCCCGGTTCCCCCTGCTCACATCTCCCTTTCCGGAAAGAGTTTGCAACCCCCAAGAGCAGAAACGATTGTGTTTGTCTCCCTTGTGACTCCAGCATCCTAAAGTGAAATACTCAGTGACTATCAGCTTCCAAACAGCACTGAGGCCCGTGGGGCGCTTGGCCAATGTTCATCCGATCTAACAAAGATCAACCCCCCACTGTGATAGGTTCCAGAGTGTGGCCCCCCACCCCCAAATACTCCCCACACTGCCAACCACAGAATCCTCTGTTGCTGATCAATGTGCTCCTACTCTCTTCAGCAGCAGTGGAGATAAGTTCTCTGTGAAGGGAGTTTTCTTTCTTTTTTTTTTTTCTTTTGTTCTGGAGCCACACCTGGCAATGCTCAGGTCTTACTTCTGGCTCTGTGCTCTGCTCAGCATCACTCTGGGGACCATATGGGCTGTCAGGGTTCAAACCTGGGTCTGGTGCATGCAAGGCAAGTGCTTTATCTGCTGAACGATCTTTTTTTTTTTTCTGTTCACAGTTGGGGCAGCCCAGAATATAAACTCCCTAGAGCATCAGAGCAGGGAGACATCTTAGAGGCTGTTTGCTTCATCCTACAGATTTGGGAAAGGAGATCAGAGAGGGCCAGGGAGGCCTCCAATATCACACAGCAAATTTGTCAGAACTAGACTCCAGTTTCCCAAGCACTGACCTAGGGCTAACTTGGGCTAGCAGTTCACCAGTTCACAGGTTTATTTATTTTTTATATTATTATCATTTTGCTTTTGGGACCACACCTGCTGATGCTCAGGGGTGACTGGCTCTGCATTCAGGTATCACTTCTGCAGTACTCAGGGGTCCTTATGGAATGCTAGGGATTGAACTCAGGTCTGCCAGGTTTGATATGACCCAGGTTTGATCCCTGGGATAAAAATAAACCTGTGAACCCCAGAACCTCCTATGGTCCCCTGATCACCACGAGGAGTGATCCCTGAGTGCAGAGCCAGGAGTAACTGCTGAACGTTACTGGATGTGACCCAAAGACAAAAGAAATAAAGAAAAAAAGAAAGACAGAAAGAAAGAAAGAAAGAAAGAAAGAAAGGCGAGAGAGAAAGGAAGGAGAGGGAAGGAAGGAGGGAGAGAAAGGACGGAAGGAGAGAGAAGACAGGAAAGAGAAAGAGAAAGACTGAAAGAACAAAAGAAAGAGAGAAAGAAAGGAAGAAAGACAGATAGACAGAAAGAAAGTAAGGAAGGAAGGAGAGAAAGGAAAGAAGGAGAGAGAAAGGAAAGAGAGAAAGGAAGACCAAAAGAACAAAAGAAAGAGAGAGAAAGAAAGAAAGGTAGGAAGAAGGAAAGAGAAAGAAAGAGGGAGGGAGGGAGGGAGGGAGGGAGGGAGGAAGGAAGGAAGGAAGAAAAGAAGGAAGGAAGGAAGGAAGGAAGGAAGAGAGGGAGGGAGGGAGGGAGGAAGGAGAGAGTGTGGCAGAAAGGAGGCAGAGTGGTGAGAGAAGGAGGTAGAGTGGCCCAGGGGTTAGGGCTGGGCAGAGGATGAGGCTCTGGGGGACCAGCTGCCGCACCTCATTCTTGGTGGGCAGCACCCCCACACTGCAAAGCTGCCTTCCCCCCCCCCACATGCGTAACCACCTGCCCCCGCTAGAGGATTTATTGCCTCGGGCCCTGCCATCTGGCCCTGGTGATAAATCAGCCTTGGGCAGGGATGCAGCCATGCTGACCGGAGGGAATAAAAGGGGACCCTGGGACTCGGAGGAGCCCAGAGACGGGGAGTGCCTGCAGCATGGCCCGGAGCAGCACAGCAGCGAGATGGGGCGTCCTGGTCCTGCTCTGGGGCTGCTCCGTCATCTGCGTCCTCACAGACAGAAGCCCCTTCAGACGGTAACGGGGCGATGGGTGTGGGTACAGGGCTCCCTCCTTCCTAGAACCCCCAATTTTCTTTTTCGTTTGTTTCTTTGTTTGGGGGCCACACCAGGCTTGCTCGGGGGGGGGGGTCTTAGTCGTAGTTCTGCACTCAGTCATTACTTCTGGTGGGGCTCAGGGGACCCTATGGGATGCCTGGGATTGAACCCAAGGTCGGCCGTGTTGCAAGGCAAACGCCCTGCACGCTGTCCTATCACTCTGGCCTCTTCCCCCAGTTTTTTGGTCTGTGATGTTCCCCAGAGAAGCTGGCCAGGGAGTTCCTGTCCTGGTCGGAGAGGCCAGGGGGCTGGCTCAGTGCCGCGGTCCCAAGGGTGGCACAAACCAGACTGGGAGTCCTGTCTTTTGATGCCTGCCCAGATCACCACTGGGAAAGGGAGCTCAGAGAGGATCAAAATGTATGCCCCCTTTTTTAATTTTGGTTTTTGGGCCAGACCCCGAGGTGCTCAGAAGTTACTCCTGGCTCTGCACTCAGAGATCACCCCTGGAGGTGCTTGGGGGACCCTATAGGATGCCAGGGATTCGAACCCAGGTTTGCTGCACACCAGGCAAGCACCCAAATGGCCATACTATGGCTCTGGCCCCTTAAGATGTCCACTTTGACCTCAGAGGTTTGCAACCCTTGTTCAGAAGGGCACGTGTGGTGTGGTCATCGCCTACCAGTTGAGGGAATTGTCCTAGTTTAACATGTTGACTCCAGTGCTGTAATTTGTGTTAACTAAGTCACTGCCGGGCTGGAGAGATAGCACAGTGGTAGGGCGTTTGCCTTGCACGCAGCTGACCCGACCGACCCGGGTTCAATTCCTCCATCCCTCTCAGAGAGCCTGGCAAACTACTGAGAGTATCTCGCCTGCACAGCAAAGCCTGGCAAGCTCCCCGCGACATATTCGATATGCCAAACACAGAACAACAAGTCTCAAAGTGGAGACGTTACTGGGTCTGCTCGAGTAAATTGATGAACAAGAGTAAATTGATGAACAACCGGAGGACAGTGACAGTGAAGTCACAGCCACGTGGTGGCATGGACGCCATTGTGTCTTCCTCTGATACCCCGCAGAGCCTACTCGTTCTGGCACCAGGGCAGAGCTATTTGACCTCCAGGTTTCTGTTTAATATACTAACAGCCCCTGCTTCACAAAGCTGCTCTGAAAGTTTAATGAGACTTAACACCTGCAAAGCCTTGGCATGAGGCCAATGCATTGACAAAAGCCAGATGTGGCTGATTCCGTGGGGTGGGTAGAGCCCGCTCACTACAGAAGGGAGAGGCAGGATGGGCGCGGGTCCCTCTGGGGAGTAGAGATGGACCCAGGACAAGAGGGCGGGAGAAGTAGGCAGTGCTAAGCCAATCTAACGCTGGGATATGTTAACGGTGGTGTAGCTAATCCAATCAAATGCTGGGATATGTTGACGGGGTGATGCAGCTAAACCAATCAAACGTCGGGATATGTTGATGGTAGTGTTGGGCTCCAGAGAAGCAGGGAGGTCCGGGGACGCTCAGAGGCCTGAGCATCTGCTCCAAGGCCAAGGTTTGATCCCTGACACCGTGTCGGCCCCTAGCACCATCGGGAGTGAACCCAGTCCAGAGTCAGGAGTAGCCTCTGAGTACCACTGGGTGGGGTCCCCAAAAAACAAAACAAAGCAAAAACCAAGTGCAGAGGGGATTGGTGGGCAGAGATGGAGGGGGCGGCCTTGGGACAGCTGTGGGGTGCAGCTGCCTGCCTGCACCCATACCCTATTGATAGAGCATCTTTATCATCTACATGGCCCTTCTCTGAGGCAGAGACTACCATTGAGTTCTTTGGTTTGTTGGTTTGTTTGTTTGGGGGCCACACCCAGAAATGCTCAGGGGTTACTGCTGGCTCTGCACTCTGGTGGTACTGGGATGGGATGCTGGCATGGGATGCTGGGGATCAGACCCTGGTCAGCCGTGGGCAAGGCAAGCAATCCTACTTCTTGTACTATCTAATTGTACAGTCCATTGTTACAGGGCATGACTGGAGCTCTGGAAAGGCCCAGAGAGGTTAGGTGAGCTGTTCAGAGCCACCACACAGGGAGTACAGGAGCAAGTGCGTGCCCACGACCACTATGCCCTCTCCACCAAACCTCACTGCGGCAGGAGCCAGCTTTGCAAAACATGGGGCGGGGACCCCAGACGGTCCCCCGCAAACCGCTAGGCATGACCCCCTCCAGAAACAATAGGAAGAGAAAAGTTCCACGACGGAGGTAAGGAGTGGGGTGTGGGGAGGGGCGCAGAGCAGCTCAGCACCTACAGCAGTGGACGCGCCCTCCTGGAATCAGACCTTCTCGGTCCCTCTGTTTGTCCGCCTGTAAAAGGGGAATAGCCCGATTTCTCTGGGGCTGCTGAGACTCCAAGAGCCCCTCCTTGCGGCACTGCTTGGTGATCCATCCTCTGACGCTCCCCCGCCCAGCCCCCCCATTAGACGCCAAGAACCCAGCGCCCACGCTGGAGGCAGGCAGCAAAGGGCACGCCCTGCAAGCACAGGGTTCCCACAGCGGGGCTGCATGAGCTGGAGCAGTCTGGAGTCAGGGCTGGGGCTCCCCATGTAGAACACCCACGTAGCAGCCCCCCCACCCCATCCCCACCTAGCCGCCACTCCCCCCGGGGACACCCCCTTCACTTCCACCCACAGCCTGTGCCCTGGGCAGGCTGAGCGCCTGCGGGTGGCTGCGGCGGGTATCTGCTGCCACCTACAGGCCGTACCTGGTACAGCTGTCTCCTATCCCGCCTCGCGGAGGCGCTCGTCCTCTCATTAGAGGGGCCTCATTACCTGCCACCCCTCTGCGGGGGTTTCCCTGAAGGCGGTGATGATTGTTTGTTTATTTATTCATTTATTTATTTACTTATTTGCCTTTTGGGTCACACCTGGCGATGCATAGGGTTACTCCTGGCTTCCTGGCTCTGCACTCAGGAACCACTCCCGGCGGTGCTCAGGGAAGCATATGGGATGCTGGGAACCGAACCCCGGTCAGCTGCATTCAAGGCAAACACCCTACCCGCTGTGCTATTGCTCCAGCCCCTGGATCCTGTTTATTTTCCCAGCTTTGGGGCCAATTCCAGGTGTGGCAGTAGAACCCAGCTCCCCCCCACACACACCCCTCCCACCACCCCCTACCCCCCCCCCCCCCAACCCCCAGCCATGCCTTTCAGCCCTCTGAGCCACCTCCATGTAACACTGAGAGATTTTTTTTTTTTTTTTGCTTTTTGGGTCACACCCAGGGATGCTCAAGGGTTCCTCCTGGCTCTGTGCTCAGGAATAACTCCTGGCGGTGCTTAGGGGACCATATAGGATGCCAGGGATTCAACCAGGGTCGGCAGCATGCAAGGCAAACACCCTACCTGTTGTACTATGGCTCTGCCCCCCCCACCAAGAGATTTTTTTTAGCTTTTGTCAACTCTTTTATTTGGCATGGGATTTTTTTTTTAATTTTTATAAGTGAAACATCATGAGGTACAGTTGTAGACTTACAAATTTTTGTGCTTGTGTTTCAGTTATACAATGATCGAGTACCCATCCCTCCACCAGTGCCCGTTCTCCACCACCAATGATCCTAGTATCCCTCCCACACCCCCAACCCCCCCCCCCCCCCCCCCCGCCATTCCATCCCGCCTCTGTGGCAGGGCATTCCCTTTTGTTCTCTCTCTCTTTTTGGGTACCGTGGTTTGCAAAAGAGGCATTGAGTGGCGATCATGTTCGGTCTATAATCTACTTTCAGGGTGCATCTCCTATCCCGGGAGGATTCTCCATAACCCTTTACTTGGTGCTCCCTTCTCTATCTGAGCTGCCTATTTCCCTAGCATGGAGTGAAACTCCTGGTACTTATCTCCTCTATTCTTGGGTGTTAGTCTCCTATTTTGTTACTTCATGTTCCCCAGATGAATGCAATCTTTCTATGTCTATCCCGCTCTTTCTGACTCATTTCACTTAGCATGATACTTTCCATGTAGTATCACTTGTGTGTAAATTTCATGACTTCATCTTTTCTAACAGCTGCATAGTACTTCATTGTGTAGATGTACCAAAGTTTCTTTAACCAGTCATCTGTTCCCCAAGAGTTACTTTTAATCCTGATCATTTTGGGATTGCCCCAGCTGGGCTTGGGGAGGGGGGAAATGTTGGTCCCGTACATGAAAGGAACGTGCTCAACCGCTTGAGCCACATTCCTGGCCCCAACAGTGATGACAATATTTCTATCTCTGGTAGCCAGCGGGGCATAGGTGCAGCATAAGATTATGAAGGGAGAGAATGAATTAATCACAAACAGAAAACCACACAGGGGCAGGAAGCAAAGTGACACCTTATCGAGAAGAGAGCGGCGGTGACTGAATGCCAGCCTGGGGATTCAAAGAGAGCTAGGGGGGCTGGAGCAATAGTAGAGTGGACCAAGGGCCTGCCTTACATGCGGCAGACCCGGGTCTGATATTCAGCGTCCCATAAGGTCCTCTGCCAGGATTGATTCTCACGTGCAGAGCCAGGAGTAACCCCAGAGCACTGCTAGTTGTGGCCCCAAAATAAAAGCAAAAGAGAAGAGCTGGAGCGATAGCACAGCGAGTAGGGCGTTTGCCTTGCATGCGGCCGACCGGGTTCGATTCCCAGCATCCCATATGGTCCCCTGAGCACCACCAGGAGTAATTCCTGAGTGCAGAGGCAGGAGTAACCCCTGTGCATCGCCGGGTATGACCCCTGAGCATGTCCAGGTGTGACCCAAAAAGCAAAAAGAAAAAAAAGAGAGAGAGAGAGGGAGAGGAGCTTCTGGCAGGGACTAAGCTGGGGTCATCCTTAAAGCTTCGAGCATGTTTTCATGGAGGCAGTAGCCTCTTCCACCTTCTCTCCCTCGGGGCTGGGCCAGGATCTTCCTGAAAAGAATGCCGTCGGTGCGGGAGAGCCTGCAGGAACGCGGCGTGGATGTGGCCAGACTCGGAGCTGAGCAGAGCCATTCTGCCATGGGACTGGCGTTGAGTAACAGCATCTCCACCGTGGTCCTCACCAACTACCTGGATGTGAGTGCTGGCCCCGGCCCCTCTCCTCGCCCCGCTTTCTCTCTTTCCTCATGGTCGCTGAGAAGATGAGGAGCACGGAGCACCTCACCCTGCTCCCATTTCTGACTGAGATGCCTGAGACCGAGCAGGAAGGAGCCGGGCCAGGATTGGAGCTCGGGATGCAGGCTGGCAGCTGGAGCCCAGGTGCCCCTGCGAGGGAACGAGCCTGATCGGGCCGGGCTCACTGCTCTGGGCCTGTCTGGGGTGGGACGGGGGGACTGCCTATTTTAGGAGCTTAGTCTCATTTCCTGGGAAGTCAGATGACAGAGTCAACTCTACCCTTGTTCCTGCTGGAAAATGGGATCCCAGAAGGGCCGGTGACTGCCTAATCCTACCCCGAGGCGGCGGGGGGGGGGGGGGGGGGGGGAGGGGGCTGGAGCGAAATAGCACAGCGGGTAGGGCATTTGCCTTGCACGCAGCCGACCCGGGTTCGATTCCCAGCATCCCATATGGTTCCCCGAGCACTGCCAGGAGTAATTCCTGAGGGCAGAGCCAGGAGTAACCCCTGTGCATCGCCGGGTATGACCCAAAAAGAAAAAATCTACCCCCAGGGCCAAGGGGTTGGGTGGGGGTCATCAGGCAAGACCCCAAGGCTCCCCCAAGCTTCTCCAGACCCCTTTTCCCATCCCAACAGACCCAGTACTACGGCGAGATCAGCATCGGCACCCCACCCCAGCCCTTCAAAGTCATCTTCGACACGGGCTCCGCCAACCTCTGGGTGCCATCCAGCAAATGCAGCCCTCTCTACTCTGCCTGTGGTGAGCCAGATGCACCTCATGCCCACCCACTGCTTCTGCTTCTAGCCCCTGCCCCAGGAGGGGAGGGGAGGACGCCCCCAGGTCTCGGTTACCAAATTGCCCACTCAGAAGTCCTGCTCCCTAGAGCTGAAAGGCTCTCACACCCGCCCAGTCGCCATCCCGGGCTCTTCCTGCCCTCAGCCAGCTTTAACTCCTCCCAGAATCTTTTCCCTGTCTTAGTGCCAGAAATGATTTTAAAATGTTTCATGGGAGGTACAGTGGGTAGGGCACTTGCCTTGCATGTGACAGACCAGGGTTCGATCCCCGGCACCTCACATGGACCCTGAGCACCACCAGGAGTAATTTCTGAGTGCATAGCCAGGATTAAGTCCTGAGCATCTCCAAGTGTGGTCCAAAAACAAAATAATAATAATAATAATAGCACTGTAAACTGTCCTCCCGTTGTTCATCAATTTGCTCGAGCGGGCACCAGTAATATCTCCATTGTGAGACTTGTTGTTACTGTTTTTGGCATATTGAATATGCCACAGGGAGCTTGCCAGGCTCTGTTGTGAGGGTAGGATACTCTCGGTAGCTTGCTGGGCTCTCCAAGAGTGATGGAGGAATTGAACCCGGGTCGGCCGTGTGCAAGGCAAACATCCTACCCACTGTGCTATCACTCCAGCCTAATAATAATAATAATAATAGTAATAAATTGAAATGAAAAATAAAATGCTCCATTGGAGACCAGATTCTCAGAGCTATGAATACCCAGCATAGTTCTTGCTTGATGAGACCCAGTTTCCAAGCCTTCAGCCTCCAGGCTCCCCGCTCCCTGCCCCTGAGCCGGACCTCCATGCCCTGGGAGGCTCCGGCTGAGCCTGACTCCCTCTGCCAGAGATCCACAATCTCTATGACTCCGAGAAATCCTCCAGCTACCTGAAGAATGGGACCGAGTTGACCATCCACTACGGGTCCGGGAGGGTCAAAGGCTTCCAGAGCCAGGATGTGGTGACGGTGAGTGGGGCAGCCTTGGGCTAGCTCGCCCTGGGTCCTCTCTTCCCCAGCCCTCTGGGGGTCCATACCTTCTCCCTGGCTGCCAGCTGAGCCCTTGGGATGGGGCACAGCCGAGTGCCTGGCACCCTGGTGATGTCACAGGCTTCTGCCCCACTCCTGAGGGCTTGTCAAGAGCACCCCCAGCCTCACCAATGCTTCATGGGCTCCGGGTCAGAGGTCACACTAAACCCAGAGCCGGGCCAGGGATCCTGATATGGTCAGGCCTGTTCAAACATCGGCCAGAGACCTGATTGGACTCTGCGGTCACACCCTGTGTGCTCGTGGGTCACCCTGGCTTGGCGTTCTGAGCACCATGTGGTGCCAGGACTGACTCGGGGCTCTTGCAAGCAAAACATGTTCTTTCTCCTGGACCAAAATGCTCTTTACTTCTGTTGTTGTTTGGTTTAGGGCCACGCTCCGGCTCTGTGCTCAAGGATCACTCCAAGCGGATCTCAGAGGGTCATATAGGGTGCTCGGGCTTGAACCTAATCAATCCCCAACCACTAGCACAGTGGGTCATGGCGAGTGTCCTACCCACTGTCCTGCTGCTCTGGCCCCTAAATTGCACTTTATTTTTTTGTTGTCTACTATTATGTTGTTCTCACTGTTGTTCAGGGGCCACACCCGGCGGTGCTCAGGGGTTGCCCTGACTCCCTCGGGGTCAGTCCTGGCTGTGCTTGGGAGACCAGGTGGACGCCAGTGATCGAACCTGCATGCAAGGAGTCCACTCTCTGAGGCATCCCTCTGGTGCTTTTTCGCTTCTGTAGTGCAGGCTCTAACCCAAGACCTTACACATGGAAAGGCTCTGCCACAGAGCCAGGGTCTTGGTTTTTGTTTCATTTGCTCTGTGTGGGACCCCCTTCCCTGATCTGGGGTTCCTCCAGCCTCTGCTGTCTGGGTGAGGTAAGGGGTCCAAGGACCCTAAACCAATGTGGGTTCCCCTCTGTGAAACTGGGGCAAGAAGCAGAAGGGGTGGCTTAGAGAATCCTTAAGCCCCAAGACGGGCATGGGAAGAAGCCTCAGGCCTGCCCAGTGGGAAAGGGGGCCACGGGGAAGGAGGGCAGTGCCTGGCAGTGCCACCTTCTCAGCCACTAGGTAACCTCCCTCCTCTCTGAACCCTCCGGCCTAGATGCAGCTTTGGAGAAAGGCTGTGTGTGGGTCTTGTCCCCTAGAAAGGCGGGTCTCTGGGGACCCCAGGCCAAGGGGAAGCTCTTCTCTGTCCCTGACTGGGGGCTCAGCAGTGACCTAGGGCTCTGGTCCCTCCTCCCACAGATTGGCGGAATCACGGTGACACAGACGTTCGGCGAGGTCACGGAGCTGCCCGCCATCCCTTTCATGCTGGCCAAGTTTGATGGGGTCCTGGGCATGGGCTTTCCCGCACAGGCTATTGGAGGGGTCACCCCCGTCTTTGACAACATCCTCTCGCAGAAGGTCTTAAATAGGGACGTCTTCTCTGTCTACTACAGCAGGTAGGTCTCCGGGACACGGCAGGGGTGCACGCTGTCAGAGAGCATGGCACAGGATCTGGGAGTGTTCCTGGTTAGGGACTCAACCCCAAATCAGAGCTGCTCTACCCGTGATGGGAGCCTCCACGTAGATAGGAATTAAATAAAAATCACATAAACATCAGCAGTCAACAGGGTCCGGGCCGTAGTTCAGCAGCTAGGATGCCTGCCTTGCACACGAGCCCCCTGGATTGGATCCCCAGCACCCCGTGACAGTTCTCCAAGCCCTGCCAGGAGTTATTCCTGAGTGCAGAGCCAGGAGTTAGCGCTGAGCACCACCAGGTCTGGCCCCTAAACTGCACTGCAGCACTGTCCTCCTGTTGTTCATCAATTTGCTGGAGCAGGCACCAGTAAAGTCTTACAACAAATTATGAGACTTCCTGTTACTGACTTTGGCATATTGAATACATCACAGATAGCTTGCCAGGCTTTGCTGTGCGGGCGAGATACTCTCGGTAGCTTGCTGGGCTCTCCGAGAGGGGCAGAGGAATCGAACCTGGGTCGGCAGCATGCAAGGTAAACACCCTACCCGCTGTGCTATCACTCTAGCCTGGCCCCCCCAAAAAACAATAGCAATAACAAATCAGCAGTCAAGGGCTGGAGAGGACTCAGTGGGGCTAGGTGCAGGCTTTGAATGCAGGATCCCCTGTTTCCATGCTTGGTATCACATGGTCCCCCCACCCCGGGCACTGGCAGGAGTGATGTGTCCCCTGATTCTCCAGCAAGAAGCCAGAAGTAGCCCCTGAACAACCGCTCCCCCCAGGTCTGGCCCCCAAACGCAAAATAAAAAGAAGCATCCATTTCATTGGTCCGCCAGACCACATTCCACTGCCCAGTGGCCTCTGAGGCTAGAAGGTTCTATGTTGGTTGTGCCTCGTCAGCGCCTGCAGTGGTGCAGAAAGTCCTGTCGGGCGGCCCTGCTCTTGGCTAAGAGCAGCTGGACAGGGTGCAGGAGAGACAGGCTGGGCAGCGATCTGGTCAGTGCTCACGTGAGCCCCGCCCCCTCTGTGGCCTGCTCACTGATCCCAACCAGCAGGGTGCTGAGGTCACAGCACACAGCGCACAGAGGCCCACCCTTGCAGGGTCCTCCCCACCACCGGCACGCATGGAAGCCACCAGGGCAGGATGAAGAGCAGAGCTCACTGGGCACGGCCTCCTGCCTGTGGTTCAAGAGCCCAGGAAGCCATGGCAGCCGGCAGCCGGCCTGGGATCTGCTCTGGACGACTGGGCTGAGAAGCTCAGGCCGGGGCTGGGGGTTGAAGCTGGGTGTCCTGGGGCATGAGAGTCTGTATGGAGCCTGGAGCTGGGACTAGGGAGAGAAAACTCCCCCCACCCCGGGCCCCCTGTTTGGCTCCCAGCCCAGCGGTCCTCACAGAGGACGCAGCAAGGCTTCAACCAGCAGCTCTGAGTGGGCGCAGGGGGTAGGCCGTGGCATGTGGGGTCCACTCCACAGGGAAGGATACTGCATTGAACAGCCACAGCGGGAAGTGCAGTCAGAAAAAGCAGGAGCTTGAAAATGCAGGAGGGCTGGAGCGATAGCACAGCGGGTAGGGCATTTGCCTTGCATGCGGCCGACCCGGGTTCGATTCCCAGCATCCCATTGGGTCCCCTGAGCACCACCAGGAGTAATTCATGAGTACAGAGCCAGGAGTAATCCCTGTGCAACACCAGTTGTGACCCCCCCCCAAAAAAAAAGAAAAAAGAAAAGAAAATGCAGAAGGAGATGAATGAAGGCAAAGCAGGAAGGATTCTGCAAGCAGAGAGAGGAGAGGGTGGCCTTTCCATTCCCTGGACCAGAGGGAGAGACTGTCCAGGTCTGCAAGGGCTCAGGAAGGGGCAGGTGTGAGGTCCATGCACGTGTAGACTAGTGGAAGTCTGTGCTGGCCAGCCTGGGAGAATCCAGGCACCCCTTCCACTGAGCAGAGGCCTCCTTGTGTGTCCCCATGTGTCCCACTGTGCACGGTCACATACTGTGGGTGCTGGGCATGCAGTGACCCTTGAAGGTGCGCACTCTGGAAGGCGGCCTGGGCTGAGGGGACATTCATGCAGCGCAAAGGATGGGCTCTGGACGGGACATTCAGAGCTCTGGCTCCTGTCCAGGCCTGGGTGACACTGGGCCAGTCACGTTGCCTCTGGCCTGAAGGTCAAAGGGGACACGCCCGCCAGCCCAGGGAGGCCGGCTCTCTGCCTTCTCTTTCTCTGCAGAAATTCCAAGTAGGGAGGCAGAAGTCTCCCATGTGGATGCCAGACCACCCGGCTGAGTCACAATCCTCCTGCCTCTCCTGCTCAATCACCCCCAGAGGCCAGACTCCGCCCCCAGCCCAGCACCCCCCTTCCTGCTTGCACCCTGTCGCCCACCCCACCAGCACCTGCTCACCCCAAACCCAAGTGAGGGTGGGGTCAATTGTCCCTTCATTTTTTGTTGCTTGAGTTTTTGTTTCTGGGTCACACCCAGCAATGCTCAGGGGTTCCTCCTGGCTCTGCACTTAGGAGTCACTCCTGGCGGTACCCAGGGGACCATATGGGATGCCGGGGATTGAACCCAGGTCAGCTGCATGCAAGGCAAGCGCCCTACCTGATGTCCTATCGCTCCAGTCCTTGATTGGCTGGTTTTGGTGTCGTCCTCACTGTCCTTGTCCAATCTGTGGCCTCACTGGGTACCCTCTTGGGCGCAGCTGGACTGTCCAGGTTACGCTTGGAGAAGGGCAAGGAAGGAATGTTCCGAATACTGCCTGCCCACAGCCTCCAGCCATGCCCTCTGCTCACGCATGCTTCCAGGGCTGGGCAGAGGGGCCTGTAGGTGAAGGTCTTCTCTTCCCTCAGGAAATCCCACTCAGTGGGCGGAGAGATTGTGCTGGGGGGCAGCGACCCCCAGTATTACCAAGGCAACTTCCACTACGTGAGCGTCAGCAAGACCGACTCCTGGCAGATCAGCATGAAAGGGTCAGAAATCCTGGACCTCCCCACACCCCCAAACGCCACTGCCGGGGGTGGGGACCCCTCCCCACCCCCCACTACGGGCTTGGCTCAAAGAGGGGCGGGGTTACTCCGCAGCCCCTGTTGTCAACGTTTGCTCTCTGCCTGCTCTGTCCAGGGAGGGGGACCCCCAGATGGGAACCACCCAAGTCCTAGTACCTTTCCTCACGGGTCCTGCACTGTGTGTGTGTGTGTGTGTGTGTGTGTGTGTGTGTGACCATGCCCCCCCTCCCCCGCCCGCAGGGTGTCTGTGAACGAGGCCACACTCCTGTGTGCAGAGGGCTGCAAGGCAGTGGTGGACACGGGCGCCTCCTACATCTCGGGCCCCACCAGCTCCCTGCGGGTGCTCATGGACACCCTGGGGGCCAAGGAGCTGAGCAACTACGAAGTAAGGAGCTGGGGGGGGGGGGGGTCAGTGAGCGTTCAGCAGAGCCAGGACCCAGGAGGCCATCGAGGCTTGCCCTGTGACCCCTGCATGGTGGGGGGGGGGGGGCGGGGACCCACACTCAGAGTCGCTCCCTTTCCCCTGCCCTAGTATGTGGTGAGCTGCAACCAGTTGCCCACGCTGCCAAATATCTCCTTCCACCTCGGGAACAGCGCCTACACCTTGACCAGCTTCGACTACGCCCTCCTCCAGGTGCGTCTGCCCCAAGTGGAGTCAGGGGGCAGGGTGGGGGGGGGCGGTCACCGTGGGGGCAGCGGGAAAGAGAGTCTTATGACAAGGCTGACAGCTCTGACCGTTCTGTGCCTCCTGCCAGGACTCCTACAGCAACGACGACGAGTGCACACTGGCCCTCCACGGCATGGACATCCCCCCACCCACTGGGCCCGTCTGGGTCCTCGGCGCCACCTTCATCCGCAAGTTCTACACAGAGTTTGACCGGGGCAACAATCGGATTGGCTTTGCCTTAGCCCGCTGAGCGCCACAGCCAGCAGCTCGACCTGCGCCCACTGAGGCACGGCCTGCGCCCAGGGAGGCCGCTGGCTCTGGGACCCCGCCCCCGCACCTCTGCCCCCCACCCTCACCCAGGGGCGGCTACAGGGGTGGAGCTCTTTTCTGGAGCTGCCCTGCCCCCCCCCCCCTCCCCCAGCACCAGCTCTTCTCTGCTTTGAGGACAAATAATAAAGACTCAGTGGTCACAGTGTTGCAGTGCCTGACCTTCCGGGGGCTGGGTGGGACTGGACACACAGGGACCCTCTGGCCCCGTGATTCTGCACGGATAGGGCCGAGACACAGAATGACAAAGCAAGTGTGAATTCGCCTGTACGCAGTGCAGTGTAGGTGGGCTTGGGAGAGGCGCTTCCAACCGCTCCATGCAGAGTCTGCACATCCTTCCTGCCTGAGCAGTACCTGGCCAGCTGGGCAAGACCCCTGACTGCGGGCTGGAAGTCTGGGGTCCTGGAACCCACCGCAGGCTGAGCTCATGGGCTAGCACAGCTACTGCATGTGGCTCCAGCCCCAGACCACCCAACTGTAGTCAAAGCCAGTGAATCCCCAGCCCCCCCTGCCCCGCCCAGATCTAGCTGATACCTTTCTCTCTTTTTTTTTTCTTTTTGTGGTGACAAACCCCCAGCGATGCTCAAGGGTTACTCCTGGTTCATGCATCAGGTATTACTCCTGGTGGTGCTCAGGGGACCATATGGGATGCTGAGGATCGAACCCCGGTCAGCCACGTGCAAGGCAAACGCCCTACCCGTTGTGCTATCGCTCCAGCCCCCTAGCTGATACCCCTTTACTTTCCACACCTGGCGGTGCTCAGGGCACTCGGGATGATGCTCAGGGGCCCACATGGGGTTCCAGGGACAGAACCCAGGCCAGTCATGTGCAAGATAAGCGCCTTACCCACTTGATTATCTGTCTGATATGCCTTTTGGACCCTGAGAGGAAAAGCATCTATCCGGCATGGCTGTGAAGCAAGGCCAGGTTGAAGCCCACCCAAAGCAGGTCCGGGGGGCTAGCCCAGCTGGCCAGGTGTATCTTCCCAGGTATCGAGTCCCACTCTCGATGGGCTAACAGGTGCACACCCCCTCATTGCCAGTCTCTACTTCTCCAGTGCGGGACCCGGTGGGATGGGCTGTTCCCCACTCCTATCTACCTGGGTGTGGGACTCGGGCAGTGGGCAGCTGCGGCCCCCAAGCCAGCTGATGCTTCCGGTCAACATGAGCAGCTCACTCTGCTCCAGACACAAAGGGTGACCCCTATCTGAGTGGCTGCCAGACCGGGACCTCGCCCACTTTTCCCCTCGAGACCCCTTTAGGCCCGGGAAATCCAACACAGGTGAACAGTTCAGAAATACCTCGGGCTCCTGACAGGTCCGATTTCGAGTTCACTCTTGTCCTTGCACCTTTTCCTGCTGCCAAGTTTTGCACCTCACATGGGGTCACTGACCAGCAGTGGCTTAAGTAACTAGGCTGGAGGGCAGCAACCCTACAGACCATGGAGTGTCCGGGCACAGCCAGAGTTTGTGTCCTCCAGGACCTCAGCGGGCGGCTGCTCTGAGCCGACGTGCCCACTTAGACAGATTTCCTCTGCCAAAAGGAGCTGCAGGGGTCTCTCCCGGCTCCCACACTCTGGGGCTCACTGTGTGAAGTTGGCACTCATCATCTTGGCTGTCCAATCACATTCGATGATGTACATTCAAACTAACCTTTTAGGTAGGAGGGAAACTGGTGACACTGGTGGAGGGATGGGTGCTCAAACACTGGACCCCTGAAGCTCTCAGTCTTGAATAATAATTTTGTACTTCAAAATAATTTTTTGTTTTTGTTTTTGCTTTTTGGGTCACACCCAGCGATGCTCAGGGGTTATTCCTGGCTCTGCACTCAGGAATTATTCCTGGCGGTGCTTGGGGGACCATATGGGATGCCGGGGATTAAACCCAGGTCGCCGGCGTGCAAGGCAAACACCCTACCCACTGTGCTATCGCTCCGGCCCCCAAAATAATTTTTTAAAAACGTAACTTTTTAAAGGTCACACATCTCAAGGGGCTGGGTAGTTCCCCCCAGCCGCAGAGACGGTTCCTTACCGGGAGAATTGGTGCATGAACTGGTGCCCAGTTCCTTACTGGGCAGTGCTGATGGTGGGCTCCTTTCCAGAGGTTCCTGAGACGAACCAAAGGATAGAAGGGGGTCACAGAGAGGACCCCTTCAGTGCAGGTGCTTTTCTGGGGCTGGGGTGAAAGGAGTAGCAGGGGCTACCAGCCAGTTGGGGAGACAATGAGAAATCCCACGGCCAAACTCACTCTCCAACACCCTCTCACCCCTCCTCACCCACGCCCATTTGAGGTGTTGAGCCCAACTGAGCTCAGTCAGAACCCCCAACCCAGCCCTCGGAAGGGGAGGGGGGTGGGGCAGGCCCAGAGGAGAGCCTAGGAACCTTCTGTGGCTCGGGGGCAGCACCCTGGGTGTCCCCCACCCCACCCCAGCGCCGTGGCATTAGGAGCGCCCGGCCGGGGACCGGGAACCCCCCATCCCCGCGCGCGCGCGCCTCTCCTACAGGGGTGCCCTGCAGCAGAGGCCTTCGAGAGGACTGGGGGCGCTCGGGCCTGGCCTGGGGGCCGCGAGCCGGGCACAGGTGGGTGGGTGAGCCTCAGCTGACTCCTCGCAGCCTGGGATCTCCAGACTCCGAGCTGGAAGGGGCGCAGGCCCCGCCTTCCCGGGCCTGGGCTGTCCAGCGGGCGAGGACGCGCGGGAGGGACGCACGCGGCCACCTGGCGGGCCCCCGGGGCCGGCCGTGGCCTCCGGAGGGGGCGGGACGGTGCCGGCCCCGCCCCGGGGTTCCAGCCTCGCGGGGGGCGCCCCCCGCGCGAGCGCGCGCGCGCGCGCCAGGTAGCGGGCCGGGCCGGGGGCGGGGCGCGGGGGGCGTTCCCGGGGCCCCCGCCCGCCGCGCGTGATGTCACGGAGCGGCCGGCTCGGGCGTTCCGGGGGCGGCCCGGGGCGCGGGGCGGCGGGCGCCTGAGTCATGGACGGCCCCTGGCCCCTCCTCTCGGCCTGCGCCGCGCCCCCCCGCCGGGGCTAGCGCTGGCGCGGCGGCTCCGAGGGGTGGGGCTGCGGGGAATGGCTGTGCCCCCTTCGGCTCCGCGGCCGCGCTCGCCCTTTTACCTGCGGAGGCAGGCGCGCTGCCCGCAGTGCTCATGGAGCATGGAGGAGAAGGCGGCGGCCAGCGCGGGCGACCGCGAGCCGCCGGGCCCCCCGAGGGTCCCGTGCTTCGGCATCTCCGTGCACCAGGACGACATCCTCCCCGGCGCGCTGCGCCTCATCCGGGAGCTGCGGCCGCACTGGCAGCCCGAGCAAGTCCGCACCAAGGTAGCCCCGGGGGCGCGCGGACGGCTGTCGGGGCCGGGGCTGGGGGGCGCGCCCGAGGGTGCGGTGGGTGGCGGCGGTGCGTTTCTTTGCCCCTCGATTTGGGGTCCCACCCCCCTTGGCCCTGCAAGCGCGCGCGCGCGCACACACGCGCGCACACACGCACGCACAGACACCCGGCTCTTGGGGTCCGCAGGCGGGCACCCCGGATCACCACCTGCCCTCCGCGCCAGGGGCTGCTCCCACCCTGCCCCCGAGTCTTGGCGCTCCTCCGTGCCCAGAAGCGTCCGCCCAGCTGGCCCTGTAACGGCAGAAGGCAGGAACTTTCCAGGACACCCCCGACCCCTGTGCTCTGCTGCCTCCAGTGGTGGGGGCCAGGCTAGGGTCCGTCCCAGGGGGCCGCCGTGAGACTCCGCTCAGTAGGTGCCCACACCATCCCAGGCCGGCGAGCGGGTTTGCAGGGACACAGCTGTGGGCAGAGCTGCCCCTTCCCCTCCCAGAACAGCCTGGGGGTATCCACAGATGTTGCCCTGGTGGGCGGGAGTGGGGGTAGCGATTCCCATAGGAAACCCACTTTGGAATAAGTATCCATCCACACCAAGGCTTAAAGGTGCCCCAGCCCTGGACAGCCAGTCCCTTCCCTTCTCAGCTCTTGTTTCCCCACCTCCAGGGGTTTCCCGCCTGGAGCCTGATTCCTCCTCATCACCTCACCCAGAGAGCCCCCTCGCAGCTCAGTCTCTCTTCTGGAACAGAACCCTAGGGTCCTAAGTTGCTACAGCCCCGGGGTGGGGGTTGGGGGTTGGTCACTCCCTCTTGCACCTCCACCTGTGGGTGACGCAGGGCAGAGTCCAGGGCCCACAGGCAGAGAGCAGCAGGGTGGGGGCTAGGCACCCAAGGAGCCCCTGGGCCCTTCTCTGAGCTCCCATTGTGGTCCATGGCACGTCCTTACATGGCAGGAGGAGCTGAAGACTGTATTGGGATTGGGGGGGGGGTTGGTTTTAGGGACACATCCAAGAAGTACTCAGGACTGACTCGTGGCACTGTGCTCAGGGCTCACTCCTGGCAGATTCAGGGGACCATATGGAGTACCCAAGATAAAACAGGTTAGCACCTGCAAAGCAGGTGCCCTACCCGCTGAACTTTTGCTCCGGCCCCTGGAGAGGACTCTGTGTGTCCAAACAGCGTGCAGATTTCTCCCTGCCTTATTCCATCCTCTGGCTGACTTGGGCAAGGTGAGGGAGCCAGCCGGGAGCTCAAGATAGTTTTGTCCGCCTGGAGCTCCTGGTCTGCCCGAAAGCCCCTAGGCCCGGGAGGGCAACAGCATCCCTAGCACTGGGTTGCTAAAGTCTTTCTTGCGTGGCAGAAGGTTCAGGAGTTCTGCGCGGGCGTGCTGTGATGGGAGTGGGGTGCGCTATAGCGGGGCGCGCGTGCTGGGCGGAGCAGAGACCCTGTGGCCCCTTGTCTCCTCCACGCTAGCGCTTCACTGACGGCATCACCAACAAGCTGGTGGCCTGCTACGTGGAGGAAGACATGCGGGACTGCGTGCTGGTGCGGGTGTACGGAGAGCGGACGGAGCTGCTCGTGGACCGCGAGAATGAGGTCAGGAACTTCCAGCTGCTGCGTGCGCACGGCTGCGCCCCCAAACTTTACTGCACCTTCCAGAACGGGGTGTGCTACGAGTACATGCGAGGCGTGGCCCTGGGCCCCGAGCACATCCAGGAACCCCGGCTCTTCAGGTGAGAGGGGTGCTGGGGGCTGCCCTCCTCGCCCCCGACCCCCCCCACCCCGTGCTCAGAACATGGCCAAACAGCTTCCTCCGGGAGCCTTGTCCTCCACGAAAGAGTCCAGGAATGCAAGTGGGTCCAACCTGGACTCATGAAGTCACGCAAAAACGGGTCTGGCGGCTGCATGGTGACTGGGCCCAGAGGAGCCCTGGCTTTCTTTAGACCTTCAGCTGGCCAGCTGGGAAGGTTTCGGGGGGGTGGGGGGTGCCTGCGTGTGGGTGCACAGGGCAGGCGGAGGGGCTCTGCTCCTGCCTCAGCCTCCTCGCTGCCGGGACCTGGGCTCAGACCTGGAGAGGCCTCACAACCCAGTTCTGATTGCCGGTGGTCAGGGGGAAAGGTTTGGCCACGAGCTGGCCCTCCTACGCAGAACCGCTCCCTGACAGGGGGCCAGCCCAGGTTTGGGGAGAGACCTAGACCCCTTCTAGAGGCCCCCTGGAGCCCGTTGCCTGACTAGCCTACCTGAGCGGGACTCAGGGACTGACTTCCCCTTCTAGTCGTGGGTGCCAGTGGGAGACCCCTTTCCCCGCCCCTCTCCTTCCACTGACCACTCCGGGCAGAGGTGTCAGCGGACCTCTCTGGACCCCAGCCCAGACCACAGCTGAGCACCCCGACTAGAGGGAGGCCTGGGGCAGGGTGAGCTTTAGTCCCAGGCGCCTTGTCTGTCCTGGTTGCTGCCTTGGAGTGGGCAGGAACTGTCTCACCTGTGCTCCCTGGCTGTGCTCCCTTATCTGAGGCCCAGTTAGCCCCAGGGTCCTGCTCCTGGCCATGGCTACTGCCAGGCTCTCTAGGGATCTAGAAGGAATTCTGAGCTCCCGGGCTCCGTCTGCAGTCTTCACCGTGAGTCATGTGTGGCAGCTGTGTGGGTGCCTCTGGGACGGGGCCTGTGACCGTAGCTGAGGTCGGAGATGGTCTCTCTCATCACGCTCCTCCCAGCTCAGACATAAGCAGCCCCCCCCCCAATCCCGTTCACCTCAAGGCCTCTGACAAGCCCTCTCCTCCCTCTTCCCCCAGGGGCACTTGGTCCCTCCTCCCCAGGGGTGGGGGACATTTGGTCCCTCCTCCCTGCTCCCGGGGGAGCATTTGCCAGTGACAGGAAGGACCGAGATGGACTCAGGGAGTGATCTTTGCAGAGATGGCCCTTTTCCCATTTGCTTGATGGCCCGCGTGCAGCCAAGGCGAGGCACTTGGGGGGGGGGGGGAGGAGCACCCCCGCCGCCCCCCACCCCTGCCTCCCGCACTGCCCTGAGCTGCAGCCCCTGCCTGCTGGGGCGTCTGTCCTGTGTGAATGCGGGCGTGAGGTCACTCTCATTACTGCACACACAGCGGCTCCATTGATATTCAAGGAAGGGCGCCTCCTGCGCGGTCGGGAATCTCGCTCTGGGGAGGGAAAGCCTGGGTCTCGGGTCTGCTTTCCGGCCCTGCAGAGCCCTGGCCAGTTCCCTGCTGCCCCTCCGGGTCCTGGCTTCTGAAAGGGCCATTTCAGCTCTCTCCCACCGGGGGGCCCTGCGCCCTGCCCCCTGGGGGAGATGGGAACCTGGGAGTTCCCGGAAGAGCCCCTGGGCCGCTGCAGTCCCCCTGTGGGGTCCGTCTGCCCCTTCCCAGGACCTGGCCTGGGCCAGGGGTGTCCCGGGAGCATCTCGGTAACAAGGTTTCCAACAGCCCAGGCCTTTGTTGGCTCTCCCAGTGATTATTATTCGAGCAACAGGCCGAGGAAGCCTGAATGTCAGAGGCTTGGCAGCCCGGCGGGGGTGGGGCGACTCCGACCCCGGGAGCCCAGCTGGGACCAGGGCCTGCCCGGATCCACGGATCCACGGATCCACGGGGGTCCTTATCATGGCTCTCCTCCCCGCGCCCCGTCTCCTCGCAGCCCCACCCCCAGACCTGCTCCCCACCGCCCCCTCTTCTCTCCAAGGACGTTGGAGAAGGTCCACAGAACTTGAAAATAGAACTCCGACTTGTTTGGCATCCTTGGCGCCCGCCGCCTGCCTGCAGTCCCCGCCGAGAGGAAGGGGCTGCGGGCCCACCGTTCCCCTCCCCACCTCGGCCGATAAGACCAGGCATTCCCCCCCCCCCCCATGGCACCAGGCCCTGGTCCCATGGTGCCCTGTGCTCACCTCCCGAGGGGGCATGGACCAGAGTCCAGGGGGTGGAGGGCCACCGCCCCTATCTCCAGGTGACGCCTCTGTCCCTTAGAGGGGACACAGTCACCGGCCTAAGTCCACCGGTCCCAGCTTACTTTGGCCCTGGTCCAACTGCAGCTCCGGAGAGGGACTGCTTGGCTCAAGGCCTCAGCGCCATCCTGTGCCTTCTTCTGGGGCACCGTCCCATGACTTCTGCTGGGGCACCCTCCGGTAGGAGCAGTTGGGTGGGCCCAGACTCGAGCCTTCAGGCTGCTCCCACCCCCGCGGGCCCCTTGCTGGTAAGGGGCAGCTGACGGCACACTGACTCGCCCCTTCCCGGTTTCCGCTGCAGGCTCATCGCCTTAGAGATGGCCAAGATTCACACCATCCATGCCAACGGCAACCTCCCCAAGCCGGTCCTCTGGCCCAAGCTGCACAAGTATTTCACGCTGGTGAAGGAGGAGATCAGCCCCAGGTACTCGGCGGGGGGCTGATGGGCCCGGACTCTGGCGGGACACACCGCTGCCCCCTCTCACGCCACGGGTCCTGAAACAGATGGCAGGGCCTCGCCGGGCAGGGCAGGGCAGGGCAGGGCAGGAGGTCCTGGGTCGGGAGGATGAGAATGAGGAGAGAGTCCAGAGCTGGCGACAGACCTGGGACCTTACGGCCCTGAGCCTTGCTGGGGGCCCTTGCACTCCTCCTTGTCCACCTCCCCCTTCTCTCCTGGAGAGGGCTGCCCCGCTGCGCCTCCCCCCTGCATGGTCTCTCCAGGCCAGACAGTAGCCTGAGCTGCAGCCTGAGCTCCTCCCTCTGTAGCCGTGACCCCCAGCAGAGCTTTGACGGAAGGGGACATGGACAGGGTGGCACCCCTCCTGCCCAGGAGGTCATGGGGACTCTGATCACCCTCTCCTGGGACTGACCTTTGCTTTTGTCCCTAATGTTCATGGCAAGAGTGGACAGAGAGCTTGGGCGGGGGTGGGAAGGGATCTCGTCCCTTCCATTGACGTGACAAGGAACAACCCAGCTTTGTGTGTGCATGTATGTGCGTGACCAAATAACCCAGCCGTGTATGTGTTTGTGTATGTATATGTGTGTGACCAAATAACCCAACCATGTGCATGCATGTGTATGTGTGTGTGACCAGATAACTCAGTCGTGTGTGTATCTGTGTGTATATGTGTGTGACCAAGTAACCCAGCCGTGTGTGTGTTTGTGTGTGTATGTGTGTGACCAAATAACCCAGCCGTGTGTGTTTGTGTGCATATGTGTGTGTCAAAACAACCCCGCCATGTGTGTATGTGTGCATATGTGTATGTATGTAAGTAAATAACCCAGCCTGTGTGTGTGTGACCAAATAACCCAGCCGTGTGTGTGTGTCTGGGACACACAGACATAACCATGACTTTATCTACAGCCCCATACTTTGTAATGACCGAAACCTGCCCGGGGACTGTTTGCCCAGGGTGTAGCCAGGCTCAGGCCCTCTGTGCCAAGCGGCCTCTCTGGGGCAAGGGTCCTTCGCCTGCAGGCTGAGGCAGAGCAGGAGAGGGGTAGAAGGTTTTGACGATCCAGCCCTCCTGCCCTTTGACAGCTGGGCCAGCTGGGACCCAGAGAGGCAACAGGACTTGCTCAGGGTCCTTCCTGATTGCTGGCCACTCTCATAACTGGCCACTGAGGCTCAGACATAACCGCGGCGCTGCAGCTGTGACTGGAGTGTCCCCGTGTCACCCCGTGTGGGTGAGCTTGCAGAGCAGCAGTCCCTGGAGGAACCGGCCCTTTGCCCCCCTGTCTGGGCCCTTAGACTTCCGGCCTGAGGTGCAGTTTCCTGATTCTTACCTGCTGGCAGCCTTGGAGCCCGCCCAGAGCCGGCGGGTGAACCAACAATCACTTGGGCCAGGTAAAGCGCTCTGGAGCTCCAAGTTGCCAGATAAGCCGGATTTCGTGGAGCCTCCCTTTCATACACTTTGATTGATTGGGATTTAAGACAATGAAAACATGTGTGTGCTCTTGGCCCCGCCCTCCAGGAGCTCTGGCAAGCTTCTGGGTAAACAGGACGTGCCTTTACGCGACTCCACAAGAAAGTGCAGTCAAGCATAGGGTACGTGGAAGAGCCTGGAACGTCTAGCCTAGCAGGACTGAATGGGAGGGTGGGGGGAGCATTGGGGTCAGAGAGACCAGGAGTTTGCTCAGAGGTGAGTGGGGCTGAGGTGGCTTATCCGGAAGGAGAGTGTCACTGAGTAGCCCGTGGACGGTTCCCATGCCAAGGCTTCAGGGCTGCATGTGAGGGACATGCTTGGGATGGGGCAGGGGTGAGGGTGAGCAGCTGGAGGCGGGTCGTGTCATCAAATGGGCCAGCCTAGGAAGGGGGTCTCTGCAATTGAGCCCGAGACGTCCCTGAGGCATGCTAAGCGCAGGCTCCTGGCGGGCCCGACAGAGGGTGAAGGCTGGTAAGCTCAGTGAGCTGCATCTTGCCCGGCTCTCCAGATAATTCAGGGGAGCCGCGGAGCAGGCTTGGGGACCTCTGTCCCCTAGCACAGTCTCAGTCTTTCCCCCCTTCCTTCTGAGGAGCCTGCCCTGGCACTGGCCTCCCTAATCTGGGTTATTTGGGGGTCACGGGTTGGGGCCCACACTTGGCAGTTCAGGGCTTATTTCTGGTACTACATTCAGAAATTACTCCTGGTGATATTCTGGGGACCATATGGGATCCTGGGGCTCGAACCCGAGTCAGCCACATGCAAGACAAGCGCCCTACCTGCTGTACTATCACTGTATGTGTCCTGGCCCACCACGTGTGCAATGTTACCTGTGACATCCAGTTGAGACACTCAGCTTTCCCTGTGGGGGATGGCGAATGGGGGTCTTGTGACTCCCTCGAAATAGATTTGGTTGGGGCCGGAGAGGTAGTACAGGAGATTGAACGCTTTCCTGCCACACAGCTGACGGGATTCAGCACCTGGCAGCACAACCCCAAGCCCCGCCGGGAATGATCCCTGAGCACCACCAGGTGTGACCCCCCCCCCCCCAAAACCAAAAGAAAAGAAAAGAAATAGATTTAGTAGCCTGGAGCTGTGCTAGGTGGCTGGGAGAATGTGGGATTCCTGGAGGTTCCAGAACATGAGGAGGAGCCCTAGATGGGCTGGTTCATCACTGCCTGCGAGGACAAAGGAGCCAGTGAGCTGAAATACTTAGAAAGCAGATGGGGAGGAAATACTCTTCCCCCCCCCCTCCACACACACACACACACACACACACACACACACACACACACACACACAGCAGAGTTGGAATCCTAGAAGTTTCCAGGCAGGGCCAGCCTGCTTTCTGTCCCCTTCCAAGGCCTCTGAGGGATGGGCAGGGCGGAGGCAGAGAGGTTCAACCTGTTCTGCCCAGGGCGTGAGAGTTTCTTGAATGCTGTAGTGCAGTGGTTACTGTCCCCCGGGTCTCACAGCCTTGAAAGCCCGGCAGTGTCAGGAGGGAAGGTAGCGGAGCTGGCGCTGTGTCAAGTGTTCAGGAGGGAAGCGGGTGGGCCGAGCGGGAGGGAGTCTGGGATCCTTCCCGCAGTGGCCATCTGCGTGGCCTTGGGTGAGGGGCGGGCGGAGGTCAGGGCCTGGTGCAGCGGGCATCTCGAATGTCACAGACCCGTTTTTTTCCAAGCTGAGACCTGGGCAAAGCAGAGGAAACCTCCTAATTCTTATCTTAGGAGATTGGAAAAGGAATCTAATTAGGGCTGGGGAGCCGGGTTGGGAGTTCAGAGCCTGCGCAGAGCGTGTGGGCGTGCTGGGCTGAGTCCAACCCTGAGGACTTCAGCAGGGACCCCAATTGCCAAGCTGGGAGTAGTCCCTGAACACTACCCAGTGTGGCCCCCAAACCAATGAAATAAAATAAAATAAAAAGGATTTCTAAATTATTGTTTCTTGGGCCTGAGCAATAGTGCATGGCCTTGCACATGGCCAGCCCGGGTTCGATTCTCAGCATCCCATGTGGTCCCCCGAGCACCGCCAGGAGTAATTCCTGAGTGCAGGGCCAGGAATAACCCCTGAGCATCACCGGGTGTGACCCAAAAAGAAAAAAAAAGTCCTAAATTATTGTTTCTTGGACTGGAGCAGTAGCGCAGCAGGTAGGGCACTTGCCTTGCATCTGGTCAACCCGGGTTCCAACCCCCGCACCACAAGTGGTTCTTCTGAACCTCTCCAGGCGTGCTCTTAAGCACAGAACAGGGAGTAAGCCCTGAGCACCACCAGTTGTCCCCAAACCTCAAACTAACAAATAGAAGTTGCTTCCTAAGGAGAGCCAACATGGAAACATCTCTGAAGCCGAGGCAAGCGTGGAGATAAAAGGGCTGGGAAGGGCTGGAGCAAGAGCACCGTGGGAAGGGCGTTTGCCTTGCACGCGGCCAACCCGGGTTCAATTCCCAGCATCCCGTATGGTCCCCTGCGCAATGCCAGGGGTGATTCCTGAGCGCAGAGCCAGGAGTAACCCCTGTGCATTGCCGGGTATGGCCCAAAAAGCAAAATAAATAAATATAAATAAATAAATAAATGGGCCAGGAAAAGGCGCCCTGGTGGGCAGTGGGGCCCAGGATAACCCGGGATAACCCAGGAGAGCTACAGGACATTCCAGGGACACCCTTCCTAGGTGAGGAAGTGGAGGGCCCCGCTGTGTCAGAAATTCTGGAGGCTGTGAGCTGGGAGGAAGCCTCGTCTTCCCTCGAGCCTCAGTTTCCCTGGGGGACTGAACTGGCCACAGACCCAGGCACCTCTTTCGCATTGCCGGTCATGGAGCCCTCTATACACCTTCCTTTGCAGGGGGCTGCGTGAGCACCTTGCCGAGTTCCCCTCCCCCTGAGAGCGAGGACATCACTGCCCATGTCCTCTCACATGTCCTCCTGCCGCAGAAGACACATGGAGACAGCGCGGCCTCCCCCCACCACCACCACCCACCCATGGGTGCCGGGGCTTTTCAGGACTGGGCAGATTCCATGGCTTTTCAGCAAATAGACCTTTGTGTCTCGGTGTCCAGAGAAATCGGATCATCACTGCAGCGTCACTCGCTGTCCCTGTGGCATCTGATAAGGCCCATTCATTCTTCCCAAGCCCGGCATTCCTCTGGATGGTTTCTAGGAATCTGCCACTGTCCTCCACTGCCCACACATGTCTAGGCAGGACTCGGGAACAGGAAGCACTCTGAGATCCAGGGAGTAGGGAAGCTTCTCAGGGAGTGGCAAAGAAAGTTCTCTGATAGAAAGCGCTGGGTGGGGCTCGCTTCGTCTTAGTTTGGGGGGGCCACACCCAGCAGAACTCCAGGCTTGCTCCTGGCTCTGTGCTCAGGGATCCTCCTGGTGGGCTCGGGGACCATAGGGGATGCCGGGGATTGATCCTGGGTCAGCTCCGTGCAAGGCAAACGCCGTCCCTGCTGTAGTGTCTCTCTGACCCTGGGACTCACCTGTATAGAAATCATTGGTCATTGGTTTGCTTGTGTTTGCATTTTATTTTTTTTGGGGGGGGGACAGCCAGCAGTGCTCAGGGGCTACTCCCCAAGCAGTGCGTGGGGGGTTCTCCTGGCAGGACTTGGGGACCAGGTTTGGAAGCCAGGCCTTCGTGCGGGCCCGGCTGGAGCCCTGGGTCCTCCATCTCTGCCCCTGGGCCCTGTTTGAATCAGCTTCTTTGAGGAGCCCAGAAGCCCAAGTGCCACGTGACAACTGGTGCCAGTGAGGGTCTGCGAGCCGGGCCCTTCTCCAGTGAGAGCAAGGCAAGGCTGGCATGCAGGGCGGAGGCCAGCAGCCGCCTCTCCGCTCTCAGCCCTCCTCCCACTGTCCAGGCTTTCTGCAGATGTGCCCGCGGTGGAGGAGCTGGAGCGGGAGCTGGCCTGGCTGAAGGAGCATCTGTCCCAGCTGGACTCCCCCGTGGTGTTCTGTCACAATGACCTGCTGTGCAAGAATATCATCTATGACAGCTCCAAAGGTATGATCCCCTCCATCCGGTCCCCTCCGTCCAGGGCCCTCGGTCGTGTCTCATACCTCACACCTGCCTGCAGGCTTGTTTGCGTGAAGGAGAGATGGGGGGGGTGGCGGAGGGAAGGAAACGAGAAGCCCCCACTCAGAACACAAGCCCGTACGGCGGCCCGAGCAATACGACAGCCGGGAGGGCGTTTGCCTGGCACATGGTTGGGCCAGGCTCAATCCCCGGCATCCTGTATAGTCTCCTGAGCACCACCAGGAATGATTCCTGAGCACAGAGCCAGGAGTAACTTCAGAGTATCACCTGAGTATGGCCAGAACCACCACCACAAAGAAAACAAACAAACAAACAAAAAAACCTATGCCGGGGCTAGAGCAATAGCACAGCAGGTAGGGCGTTTGCCTTGTATGCGGCCAATTCCCAGCATCCCATATGGTCCCCTGAGCACCGCCAGGGGTAATTCCTGAGCACAGAGCCAGGAGTAACCCCTGTGCATTGCTGGATGTGACCCAAAAAGCAAATAAATAAATAAGATAAAAAAAAAACTGTGCCAAGAAAGAACCAGATCTTGTGGTTTGCCAAGAGCCTGAGCCCTGGGGCCCACGTTTGGCCACGTCTCAGCCACCCCAGCGTCTGCATTCGGAGACCCTCAGGGTTCCCCCTGGAGCCCCATGCCAGGTGACAGCGGCTGCTGTCTGCAACTCTGCCATCACAGAGATGGGGATCTCAACCTCCCCACCCCCCCACCCCCTCAGCCCCCCACCCCCTCTGTGCCACAGGGCCAGCTGGAGTTGGGCAAGGGGCCGGAGGACCGTTGGTCCCAGGGCAGGAAGGTGGCCTCAGAGCCAGATCTCTCAGGGGCCGCCATCCCATCTTCCTCCGCCTTCCCGCAGGTCACGTGCGGTTCATCGACTATGAGTACGCCGGCTACAACTACCAAGCTTTTGACATTGGCAACCATTTCAATGAGTTTGCAGGTGAGGGGCGCATCTCGCTGGTCATGCTCCTTACCACAGAGGCCTGGATCTGGGTGCAGGGTGGGATTCTGTCCGAATAAGTCAGTGACGGGGGAAGGCACTGCTTTCTTTTGGGGGGGGGGGGCATACACAACAGTGCTCAGGGGTTACTCCTGGCTCTGTGCTCTATGCTCAGTAATTAACCCTCTGCAGTGCATGGGGTCCCTACGGGGCGCCAGGGATCAAACTCAGGTTGGCTGTGTGCAAGGCCCTCCCCGCTGTGCTGTCACTTGGGCCCAGCTCTGCTTGCCCTTGAGCGAGCTCTGCCAGCTCGGTCCCAATGAGGAAGACAGACCCTCTCGAGGGCACGGACACAGGGGTGCTCGCAGGTAGCCAGGATGGTGCCGGCCCTCCCCCCTCCCCACGCCCCCCAGCCAAGGCTCCTTAGGACGGTATCAGCCGCCCTATTTTGCCCATCAGGTCCTGGGTGCAGGCAGGGCCCAGCGCAGGCTGGAGCTCGCCCTTTCCTGAGAGAGGACAGGTGTCCCAGAGGTGGACAGGTGTCCACCCCACTTAGAGGTGGGGGCTCTCGTCCCAACCACCAAGTTCAAATCTGCGTATCATTCCTTCCTCGCTGTGTGACCCTGGCCAGGTTGGCTGCCTTCTCTATGCCGGGGGAGCAGTGAGTCCTCACCCCCACTCCAGTCCTCCCTATGCTCCTGTTTGTGCGGGGAAACCTCTGTGGTTGGGTGGCTGGGTCGCAGCGCCGGAGGGGAGGAGGTAGAGAGGGGACACCATGGGGCGCTCGAAGGTCATCGCGGGTACAATGGAGTCACTTGTGCTGGGAGGCAGGGCAGGTTTTTCCACCTCGAGGACTTAAATGTTAAAGGCTCAGAGGGAGGGAGGAGGCCCCATGGATGGAGGAGATGCTGGCAGGGACACAGGGCAGCCTCCACCCCCGACGCCTCAGCCCAGTCTCCCTTCGGGAACCCCAGGTGGCCCAGCCTGTCCCTGAGGGTAGGGCGCCCCCAGGTGGCCACCAGCTGCTATTACTAGATCCTGAAGGTTGAGTGGCCACACTCAGCAGGGCCATCCATGGGCTTGGCCCAAATACCAGTGGCAGTGGCAAGGTGCTGGGTCCAGAGGCTGGCCACAGGCCCACTGACCCCTCTGAAAAGACTGGCCCCTGCACAGTGGGTCCTGCCTGCCCCTGCCTCGCTGAGCTGGCCGCACGTCCCCCACGAGAGGCCCCTGTGGTCTCTGGGTATGACGGAACAGAGGCCAGAGCCGAGAGCAGAACCCACCCCCGGCCCCCTGACCCCCGGAAATCTTGGTGTCTCTGCTGTCACGCCCCCTATTCCTGGACCCAGAGACAGTGTGTGCCAGGAGCTGAAGGGGACCCCGGGAGGGAAGAAGAGGGCCCCGTGTGGAACCCCTGCTGCCCACTGCCCTCAGGCCAGGCCTCTGCTGCTGGGCCAAGGCAAGGGGCATAGAGAGGCTGCTGGGGCAGGGACCCAAACCCAGCTGCTCCCCCAAGCACCCCGAGACTCAGACAGGTGTCAGGGAGGCCGGAATCTGTTTTTGCCATGACCCGCAGAAAATAGTTTGATGCATCAGCTCAGCTGAGTTTCCCACCCCCCCCCCGCCAGACCAGCCCCTCACTTCATTCTACCTTTCCTTTTGGGGTGCACCCTGTGGGGCTTGGGGCAGTTCCCGGGCATGCTCTGGGACCCTGCTGCCATAAGCGAGGAGGCTGAGGCAGAGAGGAAAGGACACGCTGCAGTGAACTGGGGTAGCACTGGACGGGGCTCCATGCCCGCGTGGCCTTGGCAGGGTCACGTGGTTTCTCACTGGTCATATATTCTGCCCCTGAACCTCTCGGGTCCCCCACCCCACTGGCCCTCTCTCAACTTGTTTGAGGGGCGAAGGGTGTGCCTGGCAGTGCTCGGGAATTACTCCTGGCAATGCACAGGGGACCCTATGGGGTGGCTGCGATTGAGCCCGGGTTGGCCACGTGCAAGGCAAGTGCCCTGCCCACTGTGCTATATCACTCTGTACCTATCCACTCTTCTAGGGCTAGCGTATGACGAAGTCCTGTCCCAGGGCTGTCCTGGACACTACGGGACAGAGGGATTGCACTGCCCTGTGGGAGAGAGGGTTCGAACCCTGCCCTGTGGGACAGAGGGATCAGACCCTGCCCTGTGGGACAGAGGAACCAGATACTGCCCTGTGGGTCAGGGGGCCGGGACCCTGCCCTGAGAGACAGAGGGCGGGAGCTGGAGGGAGCAGGCGCCCCCCGGAAGAGCCCCCAGCGCCTTGTGCTCCCCCGCAGGCGTGAGCGAGGTCGATTACTCCCGCTACCCCACGCGGGAGACTCAGCTGCAGTGGCTGCGCTACTACCTGCAGGCCCAGAAGGGCTCGGCCGTCACCCCCCAGGAGGTGGAGAGGCTCTTCGTGCAAGTCAACAAGTTCGCCCTGGTGAGTGTGTGCCTGGGCAGCGATGGCAGGGCTGGTCCCACCCCAGGTCCCCCTTGGCAAGGAGCCTCTGCTCTGCTCTCTGCTGTCTCTCCCTCTGGACAGGCTTCCTGCTGTCTGTTCTCTCCTGCCCCCAGCCTGGGGGCCCTGACAGCCTCCTGCTCACCTGCCTAATTAACTCTGCGCTCCCACTCAGGGTCCTTCCTGGGCCCTCCGTGGAGGCTCTGACCACTGGCCCTCGGTGGGGCCTCAGCAAAGAATGAGTTGGGCTGCAGGTGGGCGTGGCCACGCAGATAGCATCGGGTGGGCGTGGCCTGCCGACAGTTGCGGGTGGGCGTGGTCTTCAGACAGCTGCGGGTGGGCGTGGCCTGCAGACAGCTTCAGGTGGGCATGGCCTGCAGGCTGCAGACAGCTGCAGGTGGGCGTGGCCTGCAGGCTGCAGACAGCTGCAGGTGGGCGTGACCTGCAGACAACTGCCGGCGGGCGTGGCCTGCTGACAGCATCAGGTGGGCCTGGCCATGCACCAGCAGTCGCAGGGGCCCTCACTGGAGCCCCCAGGGGTTTCCCTCCTGGTCAAGCTGCCTCCTCCTGTCCCGCTCCACATGTTGGGATTCGTCTTGGTTCCTAAAGCCCTAGAGCGGGTGGCCAGAGAAGAAGACTAGGGGGTGTGGGCGAGCAGCCCCGTGTGCAGGGATCAGGGCCAGGCTGCCAGCTGAATGGGCAGTGCAGGAACGCCTGTGGGATCCTTGGTCAGTGGCTGGATGTGGAATTGCCTGTTCCCTCACCTGGACTCTTTCCCCACTATCCCCCTCAGGGAAAGAATGAGAGGGATGGGAAGGTGAGTTTAGGGGTCCTGTGACGTTGGCCCAGAACCACTGTGGGTCCAGTACACTAGGGGGTAAGCTGTGACTTTCGCCATGCCCTGAACTCTGTGATCTAGAGGATTTCTCTGGGTAGGGGGAGAAGCCGAGGCCGGAGCTGGGGTCCTGCTTACAGAGGGAATAGGCTGAACATTCCAGAAGCCCCACCCTGCAAACCCCTTCAGGGCAGATAAACTCATCTCTGCTGCCTCTGCTGGGGGGGATGGTGTTCCCCCAGCGCTGCCAAGGGACTTGCCTCTGGATCGCCCCGACTTGTACAGGGGACACTGTCTCCCTTCCAGAACGCCCGTGTCCAGGGCCTCTGTGTGGTGTGTGGCGGGAACTCAGCATGGTCTGTGTCTGGGGGGCTCACAGCGTGGCCCTCTCTGTTTCCCAGGCGTCTCACTTCTTCTGGGCGCTCTGGGCTCTCATCCAGAACCAGTTCTCCACGATCGACTTCGACTTCCTCAGGTGAGTGCAGGAGAGTGTGCAGAGCAGCTGGGGGGGCTGCAGTGTGGGGCGCAGGGTAGGGGAGCAGAAGGGTCAGAGTCCGTTTGTCCCTCTGACCTCTGGCAGTAGGAGGTGCTGCTCCCCCCAAGCTGGGCGCTGCCCCCTGTCCCAACCCTGGCACCCTGGCACGCTGACTCCGTGACTCCTCCAGTCCCACAGTGACAGGTGCAGCCTTGGAGTGCCCTGAGCACCGTCACGAGGGCCCTGGTGGCCCCTGACAGTGCTGAGCTAGGCCTGAGCATCGAGTCTGATGCCTCTCAGCTCAGTAGCCCTGGGAATGGCCCCCCGCTATCTCCCTAGCATTGCTGGGATCCCTCTAATGAAATCACAAACTGAACCCTCATTTTCCAGCCGAGGAAGGGAACAGAGCTCTGGAGAGCACAAGGGACTCGCAGAGGCCCCAGGGCGGCTGAGTGCTCCCAGAGGGGGCGGCACGGCACACCCCACCTCCCCTCTGGTGGGCGCTGGACACTGGGCGCCCTGGTGCCAAGTCCACGTATCCCCGAGGGGCAGGTCTCATCTGGTCCTCCACTTGGCTCTAGTCTCCTCCACCCACCCGGGCCTCGAAGCTCACGGCCCTCAGGGCAGTGCCTGCCAGCAGCAGGCCACGTGGCCCCTCACACTGCCACCACCCTCGGGTTAACATCTACCCCGGCAGCAGGGTGTGGGTGAGGTCATGGGGAAACTGGCCCTTGTGTGCTGTGCCTGAGAATGGGCCCCCATGGAAGCCATCCCACACCTCGACCAGCGAGACCAGAACGTGTGGTCAGCAGGCTCCTGGTCAGGGCCTGCTCCCAGGAGTCCGGAGGCAGAAGCTGCCCTGGCGTCCAGGGATGGAGGAGCGGCTGCTCTGACATGGACTGAACAGCATGAGAAGTGAGTCCACCTTAAGTGGACCCAACCTCAGCCACAGGCCGCGCCTCACTGCACAACACGTGCTGCAGTTCGGGTGAACTTTGGGTGCAGTGAGCCGAGACAAGCATCTTCCCCACCCCTACGCGTGAGTTCTGTAGCGTCACCCAAGGCAGCAGAGTGCTGGCCCCGGGGGCTGGAAGCGTTGGTTCGGCAGTGAGCAAGTCCCGGGGACTGTCCAGCAGGGAGAACATGCACGAGTGCTCCCCTGGGACAGAGTTCAGCAGCTTTGGGGAGAGACTGTGTCTCTGATCCAAGAGATGTACAGCGCGGGGCCAGGCAGCTGATGCAAAGGACAGAGCACAAGCAGAGCCCTGGGTGCCACCTCGCATTGACTGGGTCCCCCGGGTACCACCTGAAGTGATCCCTGAGCATCGTCAGGGTCAGGCGTGTCCCAAACAAAAATAAACAAGTGGAAAAACTGTCGCCTGGGCTGGAAGTGACCTACTCAGACCCAAGGGAGAAGTTACGAGCAAAGCCCAGGGCGAACAAGATTCCCCCACTCTGCCTCCCCCACCCCCACCCCCCAACCCCTGGCTTCTGGCAGGCACGCTTTGATCCCTGCTGCACCCCACCCCCCAGCCTCACCCCTGCCCCCTGGCTTCTGGCAGGTACGCAGTGATCCGATTCAACCAGTACTTCAAGGTGAAGCCTCAGGTGTCGGCCTTGGAGATGCCAAAGTGACCAGCCTCCCCACCCACCCCTGCCCGGTGGTGTTCCGCTCTGGGGGGGGGGGCACCCTCAGGCTGTACGGGTCGGGGCACGAGGGCCTCGGGGGTGAAGGCTGGGCCTTCCCCAAGCATGATGCTGCTGTGGGCCCTCATGGGGGAGGGGGCAACTTGGTCCCAGCTGGAGGTGGGAGTCGCCTTCACTCCGCCAGACTGGGGGCGGGGGAAGTGTCTGTGGCCAGCCCCAGGAAGCCAGCAGGGGAAGGGGTGGGGGTCTCCTCTCTACCTCCAGTTTCCGGAGCCTCCCAGGGCGGCACCTGGCCCTAACCAGCATCACCAGCTGCCGGACGGATGGACAGATCATGGGGTACCGGCGCCTGGGCCCCCCCTGGCTCCCCCAGCTGCCACCGCATCTGACAGGCTCCCTGGCTCCCGGCTGGACCTAACTAGAGAACCCTTTCCACTGTGCTATGCCCACCCTCTGGGAAGTGGTGGACGGGCAGTGCTGCCCACTGTGCCCCAGGGCCTCCACGGGGTGCCCTGCCCACAGCCTGCGGCTTCTCTGCCCACCCCCTCACCCCCTCCTGTCAGCTCACCTCGGTCTCCAGTGATGACCTGCACCCAGGCACCTTCCGGCCCATGAGGGCCTCTTGGGACCTGCACCAGCTGCTACCCTCAGCCCGGGGGGCCCCTCCTGGTGCGGACCCCTTTGTGAATGACCGTGGTTTTCTGCATTAAAAAGATTCTAGGCACTGTGTCCGCGTGCCAATGGCGTGAACTTAAGGGAGACTAGAGTCCTGCCCCGTGTCCGGGCTGAGCTGGGCTCATCATAGCTGCTGTCCTCACCATCTTGCTGGGGTGATGGGGGTGGGCTGCGCAGAGGGGACCCCAGGAAGTCACCGTGGCTGCTAGGGTGAACAGGTCAGCACCCTCCTGTCCCCCAAGTCACCTCGAGCTTCTCGCTGTGGGGTGATGGAGTGACTGCCCAGCCCCCAGCAGGCTGGGGTGACTTCTGGAAGCTGCCACTTCTCAGGAGGCAGGGGAGGAGAGAGCGAGTTCACAGGAGGGCAGGGATGCCCATCTCCCCGGCTCAGCTGTGAGGACCAGTTCCAGGGCTGACCCAGCACTCCCTACCCCAACCCCCACCCCCGCAGAGGTTTCTAGTGCTTGCAGGGGCGCCCACCCTGGCAGCAGAAACCTGCCAGGTGGACCCTCATGATTTGGCTTCTGCCTGCAGAAGTGCCAAGGTGTCATCACAACCGTGGGCTGATGGCACCAGCAGCCACGTTTTTTTTTTCAAGGTCACGATGACAGAGTGTGACCTGAGTTGGCTCTGGGTGGCACTCCTGGGCCTGGGTGGGTGCTGGGCGGGGGACAGGAGGACAGCGTGCAGATGGCATGAGGTGTGCCCTCGCCTGGGGGTAGACAACCACGTGAGGGCCTCCGTCCACGAGCCCGCCCCGTTCTTCCTGGGACCTGCGGTACCTCAGCCCCCAGAATGCGGGAGGGGAGCCCAGAGGCCACTGGGAACAGAGGAAGCGATGCTGGCAGCACCCGGGCCTGTGTTCCAGTGGGGGGGGGGGGGGGGGGGGGGGGGACCCAGGTTCTTGCAGTGTTCCCGCATGGCCACTGGGGGGAGCCAACCTCCCGCCCAGAGGGGAGGCGCTCCCGGCCGGGCAGTGGGCAGTCAGGGCCCCGGGTCAGAGGATGGAGCCCTCAGGTGTTAGTGCACCTGCCTGGCGGAGGCTGTGGGTTTGAGGTCCTGCTCCGCACGCCCCTCATCCTCATCAGTGCCACCAGGAACACAACAGCAAAAAAAGGGCAAACAAGGTGGAAACCCTCAGTGTCTCCCTGGACAGCCTCGCCAACCCCCTCTAGATCAGGAATCTCTCCCGCGCCAGAGCTGCTGCTGGGAAGCTCGCCGAAGCACGTTCTGTGCTGACGCTGGACACTTTCCCCCAGGGGGCCAAGTTCCACCTCCTGAGACACAGATTTGTGTGTTGACACCTAGTCCTGCCAGCCCCACCGAGTCCCCCCACGCCGCCCTTTGAACTCTCCCTGCGGGATGCACCCCAGGTGCCTTCAGTCTTCTTGGGGCACAGTGAGACAGCAGCTGCTTCAGAGGGGTGAGGTCTGTGTGGCCTTCTCTGGCCCATCATCTCACGTGATGGGCCACAGGCTTGGTTTCCCTCTCAGACTTGGTTTCCCTCACAGACTCGGTTTCCCTCAGAGACTTGATTTCCCTCTCATACTCGGTTTCCCTCACAGACTTGATTTCCCTTAGACTTGGTTTCCCTCTCATATACTCGGTTTCCCTCACAGACTTGGTTTCCTTCACATAACTGGTTTCCCTCACCTGAGTCTCAGGCTGCCATTTGGCTTTGCTGCCTCCTCCCTATATTAACAGGATGATGATGATGATGTCAGAGTTTTTCCCATTTATCGATGGAACCCCGGGCCTTGTATGCATGAAGCAGGCTCTCTACCACCACATCATTGACCCAGAGTTGGTCTGTCCTATCTACCCTTGTGTTTCCAGGGTTACCATTGGTCATCCCACTCTCAGATCTAAAGGACCGCTGTTGTTGTGTGGCACGAAGGGTCAGAGAGCCACTGAGGGTGACTGGGCCTCACTAACCACAGTGGGGGTGTGGGGGCTCAGAAATGAGCCTTTTCTGACGGGCGCCCACCGCTTTCACCTGCAGTTCTCAAGGCTTCTTCTCTCAGAGGTTCAAGGGCCTGGGTAAAGTGGGACGGGACCCCTTGTTTTCAGGTGGCAGCTTGGCGAGGTGCCAAGGGGACAGGTGACCTCCCCGCACGCCCATTCCTAAGCCATGTTCTGTGAGAAGCCCAGACGCCAGAGCGCAGGCACAGCCTGAGGCAGGTCAGAGGCCTCACTCAAGTGTGTCCACAGGGTGGCGCCCGTCACCCCACCCTCCCGCTCCTGCCAGGCTGCGCGGCTGGAACTCCGGGAGCCGCCACCAGGAGGCAGCGTGAAGGCCAGGCGGCCCATTCCAGGCGTCCTGCCCAGGCCAGCCTCCCTGCCCTTGCAAGGGCTGGATTCAGAAACGGTCCATCTTTATTATGCCAACAGAAAACAAAACTCCCCCAGTGTAAACAGGAGAAATGTCTGGTTAAGTTACTCATCGTTATCTTATTAACAAAATAAAGCACTATCTATGTTTACAGTCATAAAAAAAGAAACAGCCTGGAGAGAAGTTGGGCTTCGGGGGAGGGGCGGAGGGGGGGAGCAGGCAGAGACTCCACATTCGGGGGTTCCCCTCCCACCTGGACCATCAGAGCCTGGTACCCATGGGACGTGACTCCCCCCCCCACCCAAATGAGGACCGCCCCAGGCGGAGAGCAGCACTCTCAGGGTGACTCACGGGCGAGGGGCCCGCCTCCCTCTGGGCACTCGCTTGGGCGCTGGGGCGGGCACCCCGGACGCAGCCGCTGGAGACCAAACGCTTTCCCAGGCTGCTGGGAGCTAAAAATGGCTCTGTGAGAAGCAGGGGCTGCTGGAGAGACCCGGAGGGACAGGGGCGGGGACGCAGCAAGGAGTGGACAGTGGCCTGCAGGGCCACGCACAGGAACGCACAGGACACCAACCTGAGACACTCAGACCGACAGAGGTAGTAGCCACGTGGAGCAGAAAGAAGCACAGAGAGAGGCCCCCAGCGGTGCGGGCGCGGGGTTACCCCGCCTGCCCGCCGGGGACTCGGCCACAGCGCTGGCCGGCCGGGAGCAGGGGGCTCAATAAATACCGCGTGAGAAGAACAGAGAAACCAAACGCGCACGCGGGACGGGCGCCAAGGGCCAGCCGAGCCCTCTGCAGCCAGGACGCGGAGGGCGGGAAGGACGCCACGCACGGGGAGGAGGGGGCCCTCAGCCCGTCCCCGCGGCGCCCCTCTGGGGTCTGTGCAAGGGTCCTGGGGCAGGTCCACGTAGCAGCGGCCGCGGCCGGCTCAGTCTGTGAGCACCACCAGCTCCCCGTCGCTCTTCTCCTCGCCCTCCGAGTCCTCGTCCTCGCTGTACCGGTACATCTCGCCGTCGGCGCCCGAGTGCCTGTCCTCCGTGCCCTCGGCCTCCTCGCGCAGGCTGCAGGTGTTGACGATGACGGGCATGTTGGGGTCCAGGCTCCGCGGCACAAAATGCTCCACTAGGGGCTGGGCCAGCGGCATGCCCGCCACCCGCGGGTACAGCACCTCCGAGGCGCTCATGGCCACCTGGCCGGCCGGCGGGCTGCGGGGCGGGAGAGAGGAGTGGTTCCAGGGGCCCGTCCCCTGCGACCTGCACCCCCGCCCCCTCTGGCTCCCCGCCCCTACCCCCCCGGAGGCTGGCTCACGGGGCCACGTAGCTCTGCCGTGCATCCTGGCGCCGGGTCCGCATCAGTGCCTTGTACTCGCCCACCCGCAGCCTCTTGCCCTCCACGATGCAGGTGCGCTTGGGCCGCGGCTTGTACTTGTAGTCCGGGTACTTCTCCAGGTGCTGCCGGCTCAGCCGCGCCTGCTCCTCGTAGTACGGCTGCTTCTCCTGGTTGCTCATGGACTTCCAGCGGGAGCCTGGCCCAGCCCGGGGCAGGCGGTCAGGGCAGGCTCTGGGCCGCACCCCTCTCCCCGGCACGGCACCCGGGCTCCCCAGGGACGGGCCAGCACGTGGCCGAATAACACAGGCATGGAAATGGGTGGCCAAGGCCAGTGCAAGTCCTGGACCCATGTGCTGGGCAGGGTGGAATTAGGGAGGGGCAATCCCCAAGGGACATGGCAGGGCCTGGCGCACCTGTCGTCACACCTGTCCCCGACAGGGCCAGCTGCATGGTCTGGGCAGGTAGTGGGACCGTTAGGGAGAACGGGGAGGCAGTTGGGCCAGCCGGGGTAACAGGGGGGACAACTGGGACCATTAGGGCATCGGGGGGATAGCGGGGTTGTCAGCAGGGTCGGGGCAGTGCCGCTGTCCTCCCCCTTTGCCCCCTGCGTGTGCCCTGCCCGGTACCCCCGGGGCTCACCGAGGATCTTGCTGATGCTGGAGTTGTGCATGTCGGGGAAGGCCTGCAGGATCTTCCTGCGCTCGTCCTTGGCCCACACCATGAAGGCGTTCATGGGCCTCTTGATGTGGCTGCTGTTCCGGGACTCAGGGAAGTGGCGGGAGCCTGACAGGGGGAGCAGGGGCGAGTCAGCGGGGCCCAGGTGCAGACCGTGAGCTCCCACTGACCGAAGTGAGGGTCAGGCTCCCGTGGGGGGGACAGCCCCGGGGGTCTCCCGGTCTGGCCAGGGACACGCAGAGACCAGGCCTCATGAGCCGGCGGGGGCCTCACCGTCCACGTCGCAGCCCAGCATGGCTTCCTCCAACGGGTGCCCACAGCTCTCCTCCAGCCGCTCCTTGGCTGGGGAAGTGTCCAGGCTGATGAGGTCCTGAGGGGACAGGGCAGCCCGACTTCAGCCACTTCTCCCGCCCCCCCCGCCCCTCCCCCGCCACCCTTCGGAGTTCCTCGGGGGCAGGGCCCTACCTTGCGGAAGGGGGTGCTGGGCGAGCTATCCAGGGCGCCGCCGTGGCTGTGCAGCAGCTGCCGGGCATCCTGGATGGCTTTGCTGACCGCGTCCCCTTCGCCCAGGAAGCCTGCGGAGGGGGGAGTCAGCGCGGGCACCGTCACGGCCCTCCCCTAGGGGGCGGCACTGAGAGGGGACACGGGGGAACTCCAGGGGCAGGGGCTCACCCAAAGGCAGGCTAGGGGGGCTGGACTGCAGGTCCCTCGTGGGGGCCCCGTGGCTGGGCGGCCGGGGCCCACAGTTGCTCATCTTCAGGCTGGGGGAGCTGGCCGTGTTGGGCGGCTCCGGGGCCTTGGGCTTGGCTGTGAGGTTCAGGGGCTGGGGGGGCTCCTGGGGGAGACCAGGAAGGCCAGAAGGTGAGAGATCCCCAGGGAGATCCTCCTGACAGAGGGCCGCAGTGACAGGGGACACGGTGAGGGACGCGGTGACTGAGGAACACGGCGACAGTGACACAGTGACAGAGAGACATGGTGACAGGGGACACACTGACAGGGCACATGTTGAGGGACACGGTGACAGGAACACAGTGACAGTGACACGGTGACAGACACGGTGACAGAGGGGACATGGTGATGGGACACAGTGATAGAGGAACATGGTGACAGATGGACACAGTGATGGAGACACGGTGACAGAGAGGACATGATGACAGAGGGACATAGTGATGGAGGAACATTTTTAGTGACAGAGGGACACAGTGACAAGAGGGGACATGGTGACCGGGACATGGTCAGTGACAAAGGGATGTGGTGACAAAGGGACACAGAGACAGGGATGTCGTGACATCCTCCTGAGAGAGGGATGTGGTGAGAGAGGAGACGTGGTGACAGGGGACATGATGACGGGATGACGGGGGACCACGGTGACAGACCAGGACAGTGGTGGGCAAGCGACAAACACTGCACAGAGCCCAGGAGCCGGGGGGGGGGGTACCTGCAGGGCGTGGTGGGCACCCACAGCGCCAGGCCGCTTCCCCAGGGGCGCAGGGGGGCTGTGCAGCAGCTGCAGCGGGTACTCCACTGTGGGGAGGCGGCGAGGTCAGGCGGGCGGGCCGCAGCGGGGACACCCAGGGCCCCTCCTGTGCCCACCCCCGCCAGGCTACACCCTTCTGGCGGCCCGGCTCTTATGGGGGACGGACAGGTGACGGAGGGGCCCTTACCCACACCCCCGCTGAAAAACAGACCCAGGGACACTGAGTGGGAAGACCTGCGGACATTCCGTGGACAGACCCAGGGACACTGAGTGGGCAAACCCTGAGTTCAGGAAGGCGGCGTCGGGCCTGGGCTCCCCACCCCCAAAGCCCCTCCGTGCCCAAATGCACCCAGCTGAGCAGGAACGGGGAGCAATGGGCAACAGTGGGGTGAGATGTGGGCACTGTGATGGCACGGGCCTGGGGGTCCCCACTGAAGGGTTGTGTTTAGGGGTCAGGGCTACAGCGACAGCCACAAGCACCCCCCACCCCCACCCCTGGGCTTGTGAAAGGCACCAGGTGTTGTTTGTCCGGCAACAGGAAGGGTCAGGGCTGCCTGCAGGCCCACCCTGCTCGGCCCGCCCTCCTTGCCGCACCCCTGTCCCGACTCAGAGCCTGCTCTCACCCACGGTGCCCAGGATGAGCAGGACTCAGGGCAGCCCCAACTGCGTCTCCTCCAGGGAGAGGGAGCCGGCCAGAGCCCCTTTCCCCGGGCAGTAGGGGGCACCTCAGCAGCCCAGACCCTGTGCTGTCTGCACACAGCCCCCACGGGACACTCATGCAGACATCAGAGCACCCCGACCCCCGACCCAGCTCCTGCTCTCCAGCCCCCGCTGCTTCCCACCTGCCACCCCAGGGTCCCGCCCTCAGCACCCAGCTCCTAACACCCCCACACCCTCGCTCTACTCAGGCCCGGCTCCCTGCACTCTCCTGACTCAGCAGTGACGTCACAAGTACAGAACCAGAGAGGGGTGAAGGTAGGAAGGAGGGTGCATGGGGGGGGGGGGGTCACACCTCGGCTATTGTCCCAGGCAGCCCCTCCAAGCAGGAAACAGCAGGGGACACCAGCAGGTCACGCCCCCTCATATATGGAAGGTGAGGGGGTTCCCAAGGGGCCCCAAGACTTCAGAAAGAAGCTTCTTCCTCCCCCTCTCCCTCCCTCCTCTCTCCCCACCCCACCCCCCAGCCCCAAAGGGCGCGGCGCAGGAGCCCAGCAGCCAGGGCCTGGGCACATGTGTCCACTCACCTGGCTTGCAGGGGATGGGCTGGATGGGCAGAGGCAGCTGGGAGTCAGTGGGGACAGACAGAGGCTGGTGGCTGGGGGGGAAGGCGGGGATCATGACGAAAGGCATGTTGACCTGCTGGGGGCGGAGATCCATGGTGTGAGGGCCCGCGGTGTTGGGGGTCTCCGAGCCGCCGCCTCCCCCGCACCCCACGGCACCCAGCTCCTGGCTGCGAACGAGGAGCGTGCCGGGACCTCCCCCGCAGGGGACAGGGCCCATCTAGAGCCCCTCACGGTCCACTGCACATCCCCTCACTCCCTGCGGCCATGTCTCCCCACTGCCAACCCCCATGTCCCCCCACTCCCTGCCCGTGTCCCCAGCCGCCCACCCGCTCTGGTACCTGGATCTGCTGCTGCAAGAGGTTGATCTTGTGCTGCTGCTGAATGAGCTGTTGCTGCTGCTTGGCGATCTGGGGGACAGCGGAGAGACACTGAGGCCTGGGCGGGACTGTCCCCCCTCAGAGCCCGGGAGAGCCCGCTGAGGTCTGGGTGGGGTGACCCCCCCCCAGGACCCGGGAGAGACGGCAGCGGCTCCGCAGAGCCCTGAGTGCTGCTCCACAGCCCCCTCTGCACCCCTGGACGGCGGCGTCCCCACTGGGTGGCCGCTTGCCCGCCCGCCCGCCCACCTGGCCGCCTCACCTGCTCCTGCTGCTGCCGGGCCAGCTCCATCTGCTGCTGCTGCTTCTCGAACAGCATGGCGGCCATGTTCTTCTGCTCCGAGTGGGCGGCCAGGAGCTGGTCCCGCAGGGTGGACAGCTGCTGGATCATCACCAGCAGCTGCAGTTCCTTCTCCGCCAGGCTCTCCTGAGTCCCTGTTGCGGGCACATGTCACGCCGCAGCCCCGCGCCTCTGTCCATCTGTCCCCCCCCCCCCCATCCGCCAGGCAGCAATAGAGCCCCATCCCCCAGGCCCACCGGGGGTGAGCCCGTGACGGGGGAGACCGGGACCTGCTAGACGGCCATCGGGGGATGCAGCCCTGCTTGATCAGGGCGGACGACACCTCGGGTAGCCTTCGGAGCAGGTCAGAATTGCCCGGGCTACCCCGTCTCACACGCCCCTGCCCAGGAAGGATGGGCAGTCACAGGCGTCCCTGTCCTGGCCTTTTCCTCTTCAGTATTTATTGACTTTTGTTTTGCGGGGCCACAGCGGGCGGGGCTCAGGGCTGACTCCTGGCTGTGCGCTCAGGGATCACTCCTGGCGGTGCTCTGGCGGCCATATGGAATGCCAAGAATCGAACCTGGGTTGGCCATGTGCAGGGCAAACGCCCTCCTCACTGTCCTACTACTCAGGACCCTGCACTTGCTCTATCTATTTTTGTTTTGTTTTCTTTTTTTGCTTCTTGGTTTTGGGTCACACCCAGTATTGCTTAGGGCAATACTGGATCTGCACTCAGGATTCACTCCTTGCGGTGTTTCAGGGGACCATATGAGATGCTGGAGATCGAACCTGGGTCAGATGCATGCAAGGCAAATCTCTCTCTCTCTCTCTCTCTCTCTCTCTCTCTCTCTCTCTCTCTCTCTCCTTTTGCTTTCTGGGTCACACCCGGCAATGTACAGGGGTTACTCCTGGCTCTGCAATCAGGAATGACTCCTGGTGGTGCTCGGGGGACCATATGGGATGTCGGGAATCGAACCCGGGTCAGCCATGTGCAAGGCAAATGCCCTCCCCTCTGTACTATCTATCACTCCAGCTCCACACTCAATTTTCATGAATGTGCCTTGCAGCCTTCACCATGGGAAACTCTTAGCCAGGCTCTGGTACGTGACCACTGACCAAAAAAATGCATTGTCCTGTCCTCCTGTGAGGGCTAGCATCCAGGTGGGCAGCTGCAGAGGGCAGCCTGCAGGCCTGGGAGTGGAGCACAGGTCTCGGCACTACCGTGAGAAGCCCCCGGGGGAACGCCCCACGATGACCCCAGCGGTAGCCTACACAGCTCCGCTCCCATCAGTCTAGTGGGTGAACATGGAGGGGGGTCCTGGGTCAGATGCCCCAGAAGGGCCTGGGCACTGGACTACCTCCGATCTCTGCTGCATGGAAGTGACCAGCGGCACAGGCCAAGTCCCGCACGCTGCCCGGGCCTCACCTTTGACATCTTTGGTTTCCACAGAGCTCCGTCCCAGAAGCCGCTCCTTCCAATCACTGGACAGCAGCTTCTCAATGGCCGGCACCACTAGAGCAGAGAGGGTGTGAGGGCGGCCCTCTCGGCTCCCCCTGCTGGCCCCCAACCTGGCCCCGAGCTGACCTTCCTTTAAATTCCGGTTGAAGTCCAACTTCTCCTGGCTTCCGGAAGCCACGTCGGAGCCTGCTGGCCTCTTGGGTTCTGGAGACCCGCGGCTCTTGGGCGAGCTGCGATCCTGCCAGACACAGTGAGCATCACCCAGGAGGGGGTGGCAGGGAGGGCTGAGTGCCCCCCCACCACCACCAAGGGTCCCAGGGGCTACCTTCTCTTCCCTCCCAACCTCACTCTGGCTTCTCTTGGCAACGTGAAAATAACGGGCTAGGAAGATGGCCCCATGGGAAGCCCGGGGTTCCATCTCCGGCACCGCCATCGACAGAGCTGGAAGCGGGCACCAGCACCAAAGTAAACAGACAAAAATACTGAACAAGGGCCAGCAGGGAGGGTGTTTGCCTTGCACGGTGTCGACCCTGGTTCGATTCCCGGCATCCCGTAGGGCCCCTGGAGCACCACCAGGAATGATTCCTGAGTGCAGGGCCAGGAGGAAGCCCTGAGCACTGCTGGGTATGACCCAAAAACCAAGCCCTGAGCACTGCTGGGTATAACCCCAAAACCAACAACCGAAAAAATAAAATTGAAAAAGGGAAAAAAAAAGAAAGAACAAAAGGTCTGAAGACAAGAGTCAAATTTCAGCCAGGCTGTGAACCGTGCAGGAGACTTCTCTGCCTGATTTCCCCCTTCCGAGAGGGAAATCCGGACACACCCTCTCAGGACTGTCGCCGCTGCCACGGGACTGAGAATAATCATTAATTAATGTCAGGAGTCTGCTCCCTGCAGGCACCCACTGCTCCTCCTCAGAGCCTCCCTCCCTCCTCCTCCTCCTCCTCCTCCTCCTCCTCCTCCTCCATCTTCAGTGGCCCAGCTTGGAGGCCTTGCTCCCTCCTCCAGGAAGACATCCCTGAACTACCCCCTCCCTCCCGGCTGGAACTGTCCTCCCACCCAACTTGCCCTGGGGGGAACCATTTCCACTGGCCCCTCTGTCCCCAGGGAGGGGCGGAGGCTGTAGCACAGGACATGCACCCAGGAGCCCCCGGGATGGACTGAGCACCTGGGCTGGAGCCTGGGGGTCAGCGCCATCCTGGGGTGCCCGGGCAGAGTCTCCAGGCTGGGATTCGGAGGCAGCGGTGGCGGCGGCTGAGCCCGGCGGGGACTCGAGGCAGACGTCCTTCCGCCCCTCAGGCTTGACTGTGCAGTTCACCATGGTGCCAGCACCGTCCAGGGCCAGCTGGGCAGAGCCAGGGCTCCTCATGGACATCCTGGGGGGGGGGGGGGAAGAACAGCCGAGTGAGCGAGATCCAGGCTTGAGCCCAGGGCACAGAGCCCGCCCCACGCCATGCCCGCACGCAGCCAAATGTCCTTCATTCTCTGTAAACGGGAAAGTCTCGGAGCCAGAGCGGCAGTGCAGCAGGCACGGTACTTGCCCTGCACGCCAAGGAAACAGGTTCCATCTTTATAACCCCACAGGGTCCCCCTGAGCAATGCCAGGAGTGACCCCTGAGCACAAAGCCGGGAGTAACAACAAATATTAAAGTCTAGAGGCAGAAGTGTGGGGCAGGGGTGTGTGTAAGGGGGGGTGGGGGGAAGGCACCTCCTTGTATGGGGTCAACCCAGGTTCGATTCCCGGCATATGGTCTGAGCACAACCAGGAGTGTTCCCTGAGTGCAGAGTCAGGAGTAAGCCCCGAGCATCACCAGGTATGGCCTCAAAACTAAAGATTAAAAGGCAAAAACAAAAACAAAAAAACACAGCCAGGACGCTCTAGGGCCCAGGGAATGGCTCGTTGGTTGAGTCTGACCCCCAGAGGCGCTCATACCGGTGGCTCTGCTGCCTGGGACCCCTGGTGGGCACTGCCAGAGGTTGTCTCTGGTGCGGTCGGGGGTGTGTGAGCAGCTGAGAGCAGAAAGGAGCCCTGGCAAGCACGTGTGCAAACATCGCAGGCACTGAAGTGTGGCCCTGAGGCCCAGGGTGCAAACACCACCGGCATTCGAAGGCATCAATACAACCAGACGTGGGCGACACCCTCCCAGCCCACCCCTGGTCCTCACAACGGCAGCAACGGAGGGAGGGTGCGTGGGGCATGAAGACACTGCCCAGACCCCCGCCCTCGCGGCTCCTCGAGGAGCTGACGGGTCCAGCGCAGGAGGGCAGCAGGCTGCCTGGCCTCAGCCGATAGGCCCACCCACACTCACATGGGTGCAGCCCCCGGTGTCCAGGTGCACACACGTGCAGTTGGCAGGGCTGACACATGAAGCCGCCGCACGGGCCCGAGTCCCAGCTGGGGCTCAGCTGGAACCAACAGCCGCGTTTTTGGCAGAAGGCCAGTTTGCTTCCGTCACTTCCCACAAGTCCCCACCACTTCCCTGAAGGGAAACCGAGGACCGACTAACCCCATCATGCCATCATTCCGTTTGTCTTGCACTGGGGACAGATGAGTGATGTTCGCTCTGTGTATTATGTAAGGACCGGAAGTCGGAACAGAAATGACAGAGGCCCATGTGTTGGATGGCTGGAGTCTCCCGCCTGAGTCTGGCCCTTGCAGGGTACAGAAGTCTGCACCCAGCGCTCTCTACGGCCTTCCGTTGGCCAGCCTCAGCCAGGGAGGACCAGGGGAGCCGAGGAATAGCAGGCAGCTGGGAGCAGCTCAGGTGTGGCTGCTCACTTCCATCACCCGTGGGTCCCACCTTGTCTTCCACCTCATCGCCTTGGCCCTGGAGGACAGGCGACCCAAGGTGGCCGCTTACCCACCTGGAGGCAGAGCCCTGCGCACAAAGCAGGTGGGAGCCCAAGAGCTTGCCAGCAAGGTCTCCTGGTGACACATTTCAGCCATTAAATAGGCCTGAAAACAATAAACTTCAGGGCGGGAGAGGCAGGACAGTGGGGAGGGCGCTTTCCCCGCCCCCGCACACAGCCCACCCAGGTTTGATCCTCAAGCACCCCCATATGGTCCCCCGGAACCCCACCAGGATTCATCCCTGAGTGCAGAGCCAGAAATCAACTCTGGGCATCGCCAATGTGGCCCCCCCCAAACAAGCCCCAAACTGAAAATTAAACTGAAAAATAAAAATTCTACCTGGCACAGTTTTGGGGCAAAAATAAAACAAAATACAAAACAAAACCCACAACAGCAAAACCTCCCTGGAGTCCAAGAGCAGGTGCGGCCATTTGCTGGCCACAGCCGGGGTGTGACAGAACCGAAGGGACTATCGGGACCCGTGGGGGGAAGTGGCTGTGGGCTGAGATGCCCTCGAGGACAGTCCAGCTCGGATATACCCAGCCGGCTCTCCTGCCACCATCCGAGGCTGGGCCGGCCCTGCAGGGTGACCCCGGAAAGGCCGTCTGGGAGAGAAGACCACCTTGGCCGAGGGGGGCTGTGCTGGGCTGCGGGGTCGCCCCCAGGGCCCGGGAACCTGGAGGGCATCCAGGAAGCGGAGCCCATCCGGGCGGTGGAGGAGGGGCGCGGGCGCGGGTATTATCCTGGAGCTGAGGGCAGCAATTACATAACAAACAAACCCCGGGCTCAAGCTGTGAATTAATCAAACCGCTGAAAATAAAACCTTCCTCTCAGGAACTTCAGACAAAAGAAATGAAAACAACCAGGCTGGCTGGAAAATAAAAGGCACAGCGCTGAGCGCGGGACAAAAGGAAGCAGACAATAGGGTGTCGGACAAAGGCAATAAAGCCAAAGGAAGTGTGACGGGAACAATGCGGGCCTGTGTGCTGCCCCCACCCCCAGCCGCGGGCTGGCCCCCAGCCACTGCTCCTGGCCAGGGCAGGCGTGGGAGGCCACCGCTCACCTCCGCTGATTGGGCCCTGAGTCCCCCGGCCTTTCCTCCTCCGTTGGGGGGGGGGCGCGCCTCCCAGCCCCCAAGGCCTCAGGCCCGGGGCGGTCCCAGGGGACTGTGCAGACGGTGCCTGAGCAGAATGGAGAAGGGGAGTGCATGAGTGTGTGTGTGTGTGTGTATTCATGTGCTTGAGTGCGCGTGTGTGTGTGCATGTGCGTGTCTGTGTGTGTCTGAGGCCTACAAGCAGGTCACCAGCTCAAGATGTTGCTTCCTAACAGGATGCCAACAGCTCCGCTCGATCAACTCTTGATGCATGTTTTAGGAGTGCCAAGTCAAATACAGAGCATCACTAAGAGTCAGTGTCACTGTCACTGTCCTCCCGTTGTTCATCAATTTGCTCGAGCGGGCCCAGTAACACTGTGAGACTCGTGACTGTGGTTGGCATATCGAATACGTCACTGGTAGCTTGCCAGGCTTTGCTGTGCGGGCGAGATACTCTCGGTAGCTTCCTTCCCGGGCTCTCCGAGAGGGCCGGAGGAATTGAACTCGAGTCAGCCATGTTGGCTGCGTGCAAGGCAAACGCCCTACCGCTGTTGCTAGATTGCTCCAGCCCCACTAAGAGTCATTCCATCGATTTCTTTTCTCGCTTTTTTGATTAGCTTTGTTTTGGAGGGCACACCCAGCAGTGCTCAGAGATACTCCTGGAGGTGCAAGGGGAAACATATAGGATGCTGGAGATCAAACCCCACCCAGTCTGCCATGCTCGGCCAGCGGCCTTCCCTGCTATACCACGACTGCGACCCTTGTTAGTGCACCTGATGGGGCCTCTGGAGAGCGGAAGTGTGCGGGCGGCTCCGAAGGTCACGCGTGGCTGTGCCTTGGCCTTGGGCTTGACCCCCACACTTCACCTTCGAGAGTGCTTCCAGGGGGGCACCGTGGATCACTGTGGGGAGCCTGCCTCCTGGAGCTCAGCGCCAGGGGACAGGACCCACCGGGTGCCCCTGGCTGGCTCCCTGCAGCCTGGCACAGTTCCCCACCTGCTGATGGATTAGCAGCCCGACAGGCTCCCTGGGCGCTGCCAAGCGTGGGAGAGCACGCCCTTCTCTGCCCGCACGGTTGGGGCGCCCGGAGATTCCGACCTGCCCGCAGAGCCCACCAGGCTCCAACCAGCACCCTCCAGCTTGAGGGGCAAGAGCAGCTGGTGACAGTACAGTGGGGGGAGGGGTGCCATGAAGTGTCCACGTCCTCAAGTCACAGCCCGGTGGGCCCCTGGACCTGTGCGACTGTCTATGAAATGAATGGCGGGCAGCGGGGCAGGGAGATGACGGGCAGTTTGCGGATCTCACAGGGTCTGGATTCCTGACTGGCCACCAGCTGACCCAGGAGACACCAGGTGAAAAACACGGATCGAAAACCTCTGGCCCTCACCCGGAGAGTAGACACGATGCCCACGGCCCCCAGGTCTCCATGGAGGGTCAGGGACAGAAGAGGGACGTCCATTCAGTCGTGCACTGCCCAGGGCGCCCCTGCAGGTGGGCGGCTCAAGAAAAGCTCCGGGTTCACACAGACCCGGGCAGGTCGCAAGGTCAGATCTGCCCTAGGGATCGCACAATCCCAAGAAAGCCACTGACTGGCTGTGGGGCCAGGCCTGACTGCCCGGAGAGCCCACCATGCGGGCTCTCGAGATCCAGTAAAATGGGAACAGGGACGGCCAGGGAGAAGCAGGGAGCATTCCATGGGCTCAGACCCTGAGCCGGCCTGCTCCTGCATTCTCCTTCCCAGACCTCGGCCTGCAGAGGTCCCAGCGGAGCTGGGGGTTCCAGAACCCTCCGGCCGTCCCTTGGGCAGCACGCGTTGGCAAGGGGTTCTGGCGGGCCCTCTGGCCACAGCAGGGAGGCTGGGCGGGCCGAGAGGACCCGGGACTCCCCACACAGCCCCTCACACCCCTGTTCTTGGTGAGTGACCTGGGTCGCGAGAAGCCCAGGCTCCAAGAGGCCTGTGCTTGGAGCCTGGGACCCCCACACAGGTTCTGAGGTTTGGGGGAGCCTGCTCCCCTCTCCCTGGGCACACAGGAGCTGAGATGGTGAGTGACTGGATACCTCAGTGCCCACAAGCCCCCATGACACGGGCCCCAGCCTCCTTGGGGTCAAAGGGCTCCTGTGCTCTGCCTCCACTCCAGTTGGGTGGGAACCCGCAGCTCAGAAGCGGTTCCTCCCCCACCGTGTCCCCGCCCAGCAGAACCCCGTCTGCTCCCCGACGCCCTCCCTATTCTGCTTGGGTGCAGGGGCGAGGCCTCTGGACGGCGACTGTCCCCCTATGCCCGGCTTTGAGTCTCTAAGACATGAGCCTGAGCCCGTGGACGCCAATGCCCAGGGTGGCCATCCCACCTCCATCCCCCAAAGCCCACCTCTGCCCACATCCCTGGCCCTCACCCACTCACCCGTGGTGCAGCCCAGACAAACCGCCTGTCACTT